CCTTCAATAATGGGTCGGATGGGCCAAATTTTGGCCGTATACAAAACAAATCGGGAAAAATGCGGAAAATATGCCAATCGACTCCTTTCAATGAGCTGAGTCTGATTCTGGCTTAAATATAATAATTGGACCAGCTGATATGCAATAATAGCTCTCATAAGTTCAGGCCAAATATGGCAGTCAAGGTAACATGTGCAATAAATTTGAACTTCCTTGTCAGTGGGCGGCCTCAGAAGGAGGTCTGAAGTATTCGAAAGCCTAGATCCAGCTCCATGCAAGGGTTACAGGTCCCCAAAGGCTCAGGGCATGACCTGGGAGGTCCGGTGACTGTGTAGAATGTCGTTGAAATGGCCCAAAATTTTGGCCGTATCAAAAAGTCGTGGGAAAAATAGGGGGACCTCATTTTTGGATGTTTCCAGCCTCCCTGAGTCCGAATCTGAAGTCGGTTTCCCGCCAAAAAATCTCGTTCGATCAGAAATCAATTTGTTGCCTTTGCTTGTCCGGGACTGTACATACCAATTTGTGCCGTATTACCCCGGTTATAACGGCACCACGCGCGTCTGGGCTGACTACATATCCCTGCCCGCACACCACAGGCGTGTAAGAATTCCACGTACCAAGTACGTCGCAACTGCCGTGTATGCTCGAGCGCAGATCCTCCGGACGGCTGTCGTACGTAACGCAACCTGACCGGTCATTCCAGGAAAGGGTCGACTCTATTCAAAGGAACGCGGGAGAAGCTTTCGCCGCGACAAGGGGGCATTGTGGGCGTCTCCGCTGCTGAAATCTTACGTGGAGAATGCCTACGGGGATTTGGTGCCTAGGAGGATGTCTTGATTCTACTGGTTTTGCTGACGAACTCGAGGGCTGTTCCAGTGAACGCGTGAGAGGTGGAAATGTGTCGTGGCCTGTGCCATCGATACGACCAGCTCTCTTCTGAGGACTAGCCTGCGTTCGATCAAGCCAAGGATCAATTGCCTCCCTCCCCGGGGCCTCTCCGTCATAGCGCGCGGCATGTTCGTTTAGTAAACCCCAGCCGGCCCCCCGCCCCCCCTCCCCCCCCACACACACAGCGCTCCGCACCAAGGGAACTGTGACCATGCCATCCCGTACGCGATGCGTGGTCGTTGCCATATCGCCATAGCCACTGTGCTGTGAGGCGCCGAAAAGCGAGCCTGCCCCCACCTTTGATGTGGACCACCGCCTGCACCGTTTCATTGTCCGCGGCTTGAGTTGGACCGACTGCAATAGGTGAGCGCTGGGCACTGTCGACTAGACCAGATCTGTACCGCCTTGGCTGCGTCCTGGTCGTCCCCACCGGCCCATCACAGGCCGGACGAGGACACTGCCTAATCGCAGTAACGGTACGCATGCAGATATGTAGACGAACGTGCGCCTTCTGTGCGCCTTCCTAAGGGGCCCAAACCGCCCTTGTCCACTGGCGTGATTGTCAAGTCATCAGTTCAAGCATTCGAACGTGGTGGATATCAGTTATATTGATTCGTTGCTTCCCAATGACGCTTTCATAATAATGCATTATCTCATGTAGTGGTACGGGTGGGCTGCTATGCAGAACCTCCTAGATTTATCAGGAAACGATTATTCTCCATCCCCTCCGCGATCTTCACGATGCTAACTGCGGCTCCTGCACCTGCCTTGTACAGGTACTGCTGAGCGTACTGCATCACCAGCCTTCTTTCGTTGAGGGACGCGCTCTTGCCGATCCACACATAGATGGCCGGCTGGCATATGTCCGCGGTATTGTCAATCAAGTATACGTCGCCGGAGGACAGGGAACCCAGCCCGGTAAATCCGCCCATGGACTCGAAGACCAGTCGACCTGAAGCATCGGATAGTCGGTAGAGAGATGCTTTGGTGCTTTCAGCCTGCCTTGGCTTAACTGGTGCGGGCAGGACGGCGTCCGATTCGAACTCGGATAGGAAAATGCCTGCCCCTGACGCGCCCTCGTCTGTAGTGGATGGATGTTACTATATAGGAATGAGCAAGATTACCGTCTTATATCCAACTTACCGTATACTATAACCTGCGGTTGACTTTGCCTCTCGTTCACGAGCAACCGCACAAATTCGGCGGCTTTGAATCGTTCTTTCCCGACGCTCTCTTTGGTGTTGAATTGCAAGGCCTTGGTGCCTTCATCCAGGACATAAACGGCGCCTTGAACGATGCTGGAAGCTTCTGCGGGAACTTCTCTTACAACTAGATGATTGTAGGGTGGTTGAGAGATCTGGATCTTGTACAATTTCTTCACTTCCGCAGGCGGAGGGGCAGAGACGTGGTGGAAGCCAGTTGAGATTCCACCATGAAGGGTAATGAAGTGCGGGAAGTAAGATAGGAAACGAGATGACTCGAATCCCTGGACTTCCCGGTATTGAACTGGCTGCCCGTTGAGATCTGCTCCAAAGGTGAGCGCGAGCCACGACGCGTACGAACAGGACATGAAGTTGCCTACAGTCGTCTAACTCCACGGTCTTATAGGCTGCAGTTCCAGCTTCATCCTGGCTGGTGTCCTTGCCTAGCCAGAAGTGTAGATCGTAGGCTAATGCATCGGTTTCGTTATGGTTTTTATATGTCTAAAACCAAGGTTGCAATCTAACATGAGCTGTGTCTCAACTGAATACTGCCTTTGAACTCACATGCAGCACCAGGTAAGAGTCTCCATCGTAAAACGTTCCGTGACGCTCCCGTGGCCATTTAGCAATCCGGAAGTGTTCGACTCTCCAAACATCAAGGCCTGGTGCCTTACCGGCCGTCTCCCAGGCCACTTCCTTGTCACCAGCGTGCTCTCGGACACGTCGCTCAAGCTAACTCAGAGATGTGTATCAATATCGGCGTAAATGCACAAGGCTCATGTTAGGCTGATGTCCCTACATCTGATCCCAGAAGTGCGATGTTCGTATCTTCTATATTGAACTTCGGATGTTGAGAAAGACGCTCTCCTTCCATGACGGTCATAAGACAAAGTTCTCTATCCTCTTAACGACCGGATAGGAACTTGGGGATGGGTGCATAGCCTGAGAGCACCGCATGATCAAGTAGGTATTCGGAGCAAAGTGCTCCGCAGTCATATAAGACTTTATATGTCGAAAGCGTTCATTGGATATGATGTGTTTTCTCCATCATCCTTCAAGTTCTACACCCGCCTCTGACACAAACACCTCTTCCTCTCCAGCGGTTGTCCGGACGGTCCACCAGGTCCACCTGACACGTCACTGAACAACATCATACACGATCCTAGCCCCAGCCCACGGGTACGGATAGTTGCGCTGGTACCAATTGCGCAAGCTCCTCCGTTCAGCCATCCGAGGAATCGTGGCATAAGCACCGCCAATCTAAATGAACTCGTCAGAAAACTCGTTATCAAAGTGGTCAGTACTTTTCCACTTACAACTACGTTGTGGCAACCGTCGAAGAAGTCGGCAGTGTAGCTAACGAACTGGTTGAGCTGGGGAATCTGCTGGAGGGTGAGAGCATGTCCTACCCTGGGTAGAGTTCCGACGGAACGAATCCTTCATGCTCCTCGAGAACGGTTGACGTCCACTCCCACACCCCGCCATTGTGGCCCTTCCCTCCATCCTTAGGGCCACCCGTCGTCGCCCTAAAGGTAGGTTAGTACGAGAATTATCGACAGCAAGGAAACATACTCACGGGATAGGGTGCCAGTTGCGGAAGCCCTGGTTAGCACCTCCCTCGTACCCACATCCGAACTTGTCTAAGAATAGACGCAGTTCAGCTTCCGTTGGGAGACGCCCTCCTTTGACGGTAGCGTAAGTTGACAAGTTGTCATAGGATGTCACGATAGGCCAGTTCCAGGCGATTTTGATAGGCACAGAGCCATAGAACGTTCGGACCTGTGACGATCCTGAGTGGATACCGCAAGTAATGGTATCGTCTGCTCTTACCTGTACGTCACTTCCGACGCGCACCCAACTCGCAGGGAACTTCACTCTGTCACGACCCTCTCCTTGATAGAACTCGTAGAACTGGCCATTGGTGATAGGTCTCCATTCAATACTGAACTTTCCCACTTGCACATCGCGCTTGGGATGTTCATTGTCCCAACCGAAGGCATGTCCAACTAGCTGTGTGGCCTTCGTGGGATCCTTGTCCTCGAGTTCGGGATCGTCGATCCCAAGCGAAACGGTCGCAGGACCTAAAGTGACAGTCGGACTGCTGGGTTCGGGCGCGGAGTTCCAAGTCGCGGAAAGAGACTCCCATGGCGGCGGCGTAAATCCGGGAGGAGGGATGGTACCTGTTCCCGCACGTTGATACAGCATGTACAGCAAGGTCTAGTGATCGGAGTTGAATACTGGTACCCATGAGGTGCTTCTCAAAATACACAAACCTCAAGGTGGAAGCCTTCATGCTCGTGCGTCATGAATAGGACTCTGCCGATCTTCCTTGTCATAGTAATCTTGCCAGATTCGACGTCATCGTACAACTTCAGGAGCCGAGCACGAACGCGCGACTGGAAGTCAAGGATGAACGCCAGGGACGGCCAATCTTCGTCCTTTTGGGGAACCTCGGAATGAGACTATGCCGAGGTCAAGGATCGCAACCGTGATGACAAGACAGTCAATGGTGCACTTACATGGCACTTGGTCGGATCCTCGACGTTGGGATCAATACCTCGCTACAAACGAGTAAGTCAAGACATTCTTTCAAGCGAGATGTGAGCCTTACTTCGAAAATATACTATGACGATACGAATGAGCTCATTGCTACGACAGAGTGTGGGAGCAAAACTGACCCTAAAGTTCTCCGGTGCGGTATGGGGCTCTTGCAAGAGCCGCGACAGATGTATATCTAGGAATGTGGGGATGTGGCCGAAATAGAACAGGCAAATATGCCGCAAATCAATTGGCTTCTGGAACAGCATTGATTGAGGGACCATCCGTCTCGTGACGAAGTCCCAAGCAGCCCAGAGGTTCTGCCATTCCTCGACCGTCGGGACGCCGAACGATGATGATCCGTTCGAAGGAGCCCGTAGCAGCGGGAATTGGAACAGTGGCCGCTCGAGCAACCAGAGTGAGTATCGCGAAGCGGCATCTGACCAGCGTTGGATTGGCCGGAGATTTGACTCAGTGAATAAGGTGTAAGCATCTTTCTCAGAGTACTGAGGAGCGGTCAGTTGCATCAAGGCAGGGCTTCCACAAGTAGCCCACCTTGTTTGACCATTCCACGTGCACCAGTTCGTCAGGTAGGAATTCCACCGCCAGCTCGGTGCCAGGGACCTTGACGCTGTGATGGGCCTTCGATTTGTAGTATGCCCGATGTTGACCTGGTTGATACTCAGCACACTGATGCGGAAAGGATTTCACGCCGTCGGGCACTTACGTTCTTTCTCTTCGTAGGAGTTGACGTAGTCCCACTTGTCTTCGTCGAACATACATTCGTCTCCAAGAGCGCGGCCCGCTGATCGTAGACCATTCATGATGAAGTTACGAGTGTGACCCTTAGGATCATTATACGCTACTTCGATCGTTTTGGGATCATTGTCGTGATCCATACCCAGCAGTAAAGTATCGCCTGACCCCGGACGAAGCGGGAGGGAACGCAAGAATGCAGCGTCGTCCCCGCGAGCAAAGTTCCCCAAGGAAGATCCGAGGAACAATATGTGCAGCGGCTGCTGCGTAGCGTCGGGTGTGGAGGGCGCCGTGGTATCCGTGAAATCCGAACCCGAAGATGTGTCTGAGCTTGGAGAGAGATCCCTGCGGGCCTTCCCCATCTTGTACTGCTCCGCGTTGAGAGAACTACTCGTGCTAGATCCGTAGAGTCCTCCCTCCTCTACGAATTTGATTCCGTGATCATATGTCCCCAGCATCCCTTTCGCCTCGACACGGCCTTTGATGCTGCTGCCCGTGTCTGAGGCTGCCAGTTGACCGAGCGTACGCTTCAGCTCTCGTTCCTCGAGATCGAGGGCGTAGTACAAAATTGGTGGAGAGGCGGTAGCCTCGGGCACCAAGCGGGCGAGAGCTTTCAAGACGTGCGAAGTCTTTCGCAAAGCACTAAATATGATTGAATGAGAAAGTTACGTTAGTGTTATAGTTCGACCAGAAGTTAACGAGGACCACAAGACCCCCTTAGGCCACACTGATAAGATACGGACGCCTTCAGATAGAAGACGGGACAGCAGCGGAGATAGCGGATGGAGAGAGACCGAGATTTGAAGTTAAGATTCACTCACCCCGCGCCCAGCTCGAGAACCACTTCATTTCCACTGACATGGCCGTCCTGGAGTGCCGCCGTATGCATGATTTTGACGATCTCGTCTGCATGTTTCTTCAGGATCTCCTCCTCCGCGGCGAAGAGATAGTATTCTGGTGCATCCGTCGTAATATCATCGTAGAGCCTTAGGCCACGTTCATCGTACAGGACAAGAGTAGGGATACATCGTTGACCAGCGGGACGAGAGAGCCCGTCAAGTATCTGTCTCCTGAGGTCTTGGGCATCGTCGGCACCCCTCTTGTTATCGGAAACGCGAACGTCCAATATTTGTGGGGTCACGGCAGTCTCCATTTGGTTCGACTGGTTCTTTCAAGCGGATGTGGATGATTCTCAAGAATGAAGAGGTATATGAACAACTTCTAGACATACTGGCCACAGCTATAACCCTGACGAAGCTGACGCACATGTCCAAGACAAACGTTCCAGACAGGCATAATAGGAATTACCATTCCACGGATCTTGAACGCCTCCCAAGAGTATGACATCAGACCCCTCCACGCAACCCTCCCGTATGCCCATTACTATATGGAGTTCCTCCAGACGGATGAAAGTCATCAAGAAGGTTCACTTACAGAGAGATAGCGTTCTCGATCTCGCATCCGTCACCCCAGTGGAAGTCAGTTTGTAGGTAACTCTGCATTTCATAATAGCAAGCGTTGGTTGACTCAGAAATAGGCCTGTGGCGGCCTTGACGGGCAGGGACGGGGACATTGACTCCTCATACGCAGGGCTCGTCTCCGATTCATGACGCGCCTGAGAGACCTTGGTGATTCAGAATGATGAATGGCACGGGACGAGCGTTGTAGGTACTGGCATTTAGAGGTGCATCAGGGTGCGTCTTTGTCGGAAGCTGTTCGCAAGGCCCCCGGCTGTTGAGACAGACTTATAAGGAATCGAATGCGGACCACCGGGTGAGACCCATGACTCACAAAGGCGGATGAACAACTTGATCCTAGCCGCAAGGTAGGGTAACGTCTGTTCTAGGATGCCGCGGAAGTAACTGGAAGTTGACGGAATCCAACAGAGCAGCTAAGCCAGGTTAGTCAACCGGGGCTCTTCACATCTACTTTCTGACATACGGAACTCTGTGATATTAATACAACCAGTCACGACTAGCATTCACAACTTCGAGCCTGTCGCGGCACGTTCCGCTTTCCGTAGATTCAGAGCCATTGGCACAATCAACGCCATCTGACTTGACACCGCGAGACAACGCTGTTTCTCTCGCCAGTCTTGTGGAATCTGACCATAGTCTTCTCCGATATTGGTCGGCGCCGACCACACCTCAACAACCGTCTCATGTCTTCCCTGCGGGTTGTTGATATAACGTCCGCGGGCATGCACTCCTACCGTCCGTCTGGCGTACTCCTGTGACGTAGGTATTGGAAACTTGAATTCAATACTCAGCGTCAAGGTGGGGAACCACCTGTAGGGAAGGAAGGTTAGTGCCCGTGGAAGAACTCCGGCGTAGCTGTACGTACTCATTCCCAGTGCGATACGGCCCTGTCGGTTCTTGCTGCGCGAGCAGTACTGGTAGGCTCGTAAATGTATCCGCAAGGAAGGCGATAGAGGGCGTCGTTATCTTTTCTTCAGCACCCGCTAGCTCAAACCACGCTCCCCATTCCAGCTCCTTGGCGTCATAATTGCAGCTCGTTGGTTCCTTATTACGTTGCCGTATCGCAGGGTCCTCAGCGACTCCGATGCGAGAGGCGTAACCTAAAGGTCTTCTTGTCCAGTGAGTGGCTTTCAGTTCAGATGGATGTGTTAAAAGGGGAATCCGTCGCGCATAAGGAGAAGGCGGTGCCAAAGTCGGCCGAGGATCAGAGGCAGAGTCCATGGATGACAGCACGCCGAATATGACGTGGACGGTAAGTTTAGTCTCATTCTAATTGGCATATGTGTCGGCCATAGAGATACGATAGCTTATGAGGGAGATCGCTTACCTGCTGCTTGAAATCTGCCGCCACATTGGTGAAGTTCTTTCCCGTGCGTAGGGTGTGGACATGGATCTCGAACACAGACACCGCAGTTGTCCGTAGGAAATGTGCTGTTACATGAATAGGATCTCGCAGTGGAGTGCGGGCCTGATGCTTGATACAAGCTTCAACCACGAGAGCAAGGACATAACCTGCAATCAAAATGACGCTTTAGTATAGCACTGACAGAACGTGTCATTATGTACACTAACCTCCGTTCGGTATCCTATGAAACGACGTAAGTTATTAAGCAGCGTGCCCGAATATTCATCAATGTATGCGTCACTTACGAAGCCACATTCCACTCGGGATCTATCCTGCCCGTATGCGAGCTGGTATCGTCGCCACTGAACGACGAAGACTCAATTGTGATGGCTTTGGACAATGGAGCCATATGTCTGCTAGTTGCAGGTATCCTGGAGGTACCGGTCTTAGGTGCATCTTGCAGGCTAGCCGGGATATCTGTGGGTGCGACCCAGCGGTCCGTGATTACTATAGCGAAGCATCATGATTTCTGGCTGCGCGACTGGCCGAAGCCGAAGTTCAGAAATCAAGTGGAACGAGGTTTGACGTACCTGGGGAAAGTACAATTGTGGTTCAGTTTGAGTAACTTCGACCTGAAAGGGAGCATGAGTAAGAAGTCCACTCAGGTCCGACTCTTCGAATTCCCGTGACGCGTTCGTGTGTGTTCATTCGAGAAACATTCAGTATGTATAGATTGAAATTAGCTTAGAAGGTGGTTACATGGAACTTGAAAGTGCATGAGTATACAATACATCGGATCCGGGTATAAGAATGGTCGTGCGATGAGCTCAAAACTAGTCTTCCAGGGCAGACCGTAAATGCCTCCTGCGGTCGCTTGATTAGAACAGTCCTGGTCATAAGTGCACAACCCCCATAAGCGAGAAGAAAGAAAACGCGTAGGAATTCGCATGCATCGAAGACACATCACCAGCCAAATAAACTATTGATAAGAGACCCGAGATAACTTTTACCACCGAGCCTAGAAGGGAGCGGGCCACCTTCAGAATCTTGCTCGGCTTCAGGCGACTCGTGCTCGACTTCGGGTGAGCCCTCTGTCTCAGAAATCTTCCAGCACCCAAATCCGCCGTTAACTCGACTGAGCCAATCCTCTTTCGCTTGGTCGTAGGTATAGAAGGACTTTGGCAATGGAGAAATATACAACAGCTGCGTCGGATCTTCCGCAGCATCTTCGAGTGTCTTCAAGAGCGCTATTGTTTCTTCGCCGTGATCAGTTCCCCAATCGTCAGCGTATGTGGGGTTCGTGGGTTGAATAACAATGCATTGCATCGACAGCGGAAGGAAGGGCGACGGCAAAGGATTTGTAGGGTTTTCCGCGAGTACATCATGTTGGAGTACGCCTCGCAAGAATAACTCCGCGCCAAGTTCCCTCGCGAACGGATAGGCAAATATACCGGAGAGGCGAAGGTGAGTCACCCCAGAAGATATAGCCTTGATGCGACTGGACGCTGAAGTCGTCTTCTTGAAGTGGCCGGCAACGTGCAATCGCTGCAATCTTGGAAGTAAGTGAGATTTATCGCTATCCACAGACACGAATGGCCCGGCAGTCAAGTCTATAGGCTCCGAAGCGAATAGCGGCTGCAGGGGAGGAACTCGGAGAGTGAGCTCACGGAGATTGGGGTATACGCGTTTGAACATGTCACCGACACGCCGAGCGCTATTCCTGGGATCCAGCGCAAGGAAGGTCAGCGTCTGAACCGTAGGAGCGGCGTGCTCTAGGATGATGTTCTGCGCATGCCTCCACCGCACTCTTTCCGTCTCCTCCCTGCTGTGCAGTTCTTCTATCGTTGTTGCATTGGTTCGACTCCAGGGATGATAGGCCTCCGATGCAGCACGGTCGGATATAAACAAGTGGTATATGGGCCTGTACTCAGATAGTTTTGACACCTTCGCTGCAAATCCGCAGAACTCGGTCTGACCCGACAGAGAGACGGAATGCCATTGTATTGGTGCAACGATGCGCTTGGTCTTCTTGGACACCAGCAGAAGAGACTTCGCGGTCCGACCATCATCTGTACAGGCAATGGTGAATATGGAGGAAGTGATTTCCTCTGGTAGCTGGTCCATGTTGAGTGCTATTAGTCGGAGGATTGCGGTCACGGTGGCGTGTTCAAGTCTTTCCCCGTACTTGGGCGGCCCGGCTAGAATCTCGGAGCCTCTGACCAGCTCTGACCTCACGTGACGTACGCGTAACTAGCCAACGCCACAGCAACGCGTAGCTGTAACTTTAAGACGTCTCCCGAACGATCCCGTCTGCCACATAGCATCATATATCACACTTGGGGACAGGCGAGATGAAGGTAGCGGTGGTAGGGTCAGGCGTATCCGGGCTTGCCGCGACTTGGGTAGGCTTTGATGTTTGTCGAGTGTCGGCATTTTCTTACTTTGTCATCGAGCTTCTCAATGAGTACAGTGACCACGAAGTTCACCTCTTCGAAGCAGATGGTAGACCTGGAGGTCATGCGAATACGGTTCGATTCGTCCAACTGGGCAAGGAGCCGACAACTGTAGACACGTACGTATCGACCTTATCGCGAAGTATCCAGTATCTTCGCAACTAACCACGTACATTATCAGGGGATTTGTGAATGTCTATCTTTTTAAATAATACAGACCGTACTAAAATCTCTCCAGATTGTCTTCAATCCAAGCACCTACCCCAACTTCCTGCGTTTTTTGAAGATGTTTACCAGCGTCGAGATCCTGCCTACGGAGATGACCTTCGCTGTGTCTCGGGATGGAGGCGCATTTGAATGGGCTGGAGGCAATCTCGCGACGGTGTTCTGTCAGCCATCGAGACTGCTGGATCCAAACATGTGGCGGCTCATCTACGATGTTTTGAGATTCAACGCATGCGCTCGGAGACTCGTTATTGGGAGCGAAGACAAGCATATAACTGATGATCTCTCTATTGGGGAATATTTAGAATCTAAAGGATATTCGGCTGTGTTCCGCGACAATTATCTCATAGTAAGTCCCGCTTTCTTTCGTGTTTGACCTTAAGCGAACAATTTCCATAAGCCCATGACAGCTGCGATATGGAGTACACCCCCAGATAAATGTGCCATGGACTTCCCGGCAAGGACACTGGTATGCATTATCCCGAGCAGCGTCCATTCACATTAGCATCAATATTCTTTCAGGTGCAATTTATGTACAACCATCACCTGCTTCAACTTACCGGCAAACCTTCCTGGCTGACGATAAAAGGAGGGAGGTCAGTACCAGTTCTTCTTGGTCATGACTGGACTTTCCGATTGATGTACCTGCCGTAGTCACGCCTACGTCAAGACGATCCTCGAGAAGTTGCCGCGGCAATCACTACATCTTGGAACGAAAGTAGAGGCTGTAGAAAGAGGAAACGGGGCTGATCCTACTGCCAAATTGCACTTGAGAACCAGTGGCGGACAGCTGCATGAATTCGACCATGTCATCATGGCATGCCATTCTGACACGGCACTTGACATCCTACATGCCGGTACAGGTCCCACAGAGGATGAGCAGAAGCTACTTGGACGATTCCGATGGAGCAGAAACGAGGCTGTCCTTCACTCCGATATAAACGTACGTTTCATTAGACTGAGAGGCCGCACAATCAGCTTCCCTTTCAATCCAGTTGATGCCTAAGAAGCGGCTTGCCTGGTCATGCTGGAATGTCCTATCCTCGAGCTCTCAGCATGCGATCGGGAACACAAGTTTGAACGAGAATCAAATATCATTGTAAGAGTGTCCTCACCACACTCCACGTACTATCCTGAACCGAACTTCCTTAGGACTTGTAAACAATCTCGGCGTATATTATTCATATCTATTGATTGTCCATCCTTTTAGATTGGATGAACGAGCTGCAGCATCTATCCGAGGCAAAGCACGGTCCTGTGCTGGTTACGCTGAATCCCCCGAGAGAACCGGCAGCCGCTAAGACCGTTGGAAGGTACCCATACGACCATCCTGTCTTGGATGCTGAGGTGATTGTACCGAGTCGTGCGGTGATATCTTAATTGACAATTCCTTGTCAGGCTTTGAAATCTCAGAAGGAGATGAACATGATTCAAGGGAAGCGCGGTATATCCTTTGCTGGAGCCTGGACGAGATATGGCTTCCATGAAGACGGCTTTACGTCCGGCCTCCGCGCAGCCGTGGATAATTTAGATGTCAAGCCACCATTCAACATCGAGGACCCTGACCGGGCGCCCCTGTCTACTAGGGCGGCGGTCGTATTCGATCTCATAGAACAAACCGGACTCAGAGTTCTCGTCGGCTTCCTCCTGTCCTCATTCCTCAGCATCTGCCGGTTCGTAGTCGGCTTTTTGGTGGACCTGAGCCATATAGACAGCGCATCTAAGGTCAAGTCAGAGTGAACTTCATTATTGATACATCACACACGTCAAAGGCTGTACTAGATACATTGCCCAAGGCACTGGCCGGGAACTAGTCCCAAGACGACATTCCCGACGATGCCGTACAAGCGAAACGTACATTAATATGATATTGCAATAAAGAGACGAACAACCAAACAAAATGGTTATCTCTGGTTCGGCAAATCAAACGTCACTTTAGTCTTGGGCGAATCGTCATCTGTGGTTGGGGATGTCGGAGATGCAAGGGGAGTGGAAGGAGATCGAGGCGAGAGTGGGCCTCGAGGAGTGCTGGCTCCACTCGGAGGATCGTCTGCGAACCTGATGGATCGGGCGGGAGACGCATCGCGGGAAGCAGCTGCAGAGCGCATCGTCTGGATCCGAGAATGCCTAGGAAGGCGGATATCTGGCGTATTCGGTCTGGAAGAGGTAGGGCTATCGAGCGTAAGGACACGGTGGTCTTCGCCCAGGTCGCCAAGGCTTTGTGTACGATTGTGCGAAAGGAGCTGAGGCCTCGCGAGAATACCTTTTCGTCCAGATGGTCGATGTCTTCCGGTACGTGACGATCCGGTCTTGCTAGGACTCCTCTGCTTCGGAGACTTCGACCGCGGTCGCCTGTCAGAGAAGCTGACATGAGACGGGGACGATTCGTCGATTTCGATACTGTGGTCCGACATCCATCCCTCATCCTCCGCGCCCTGCTCTTGGTCATGACCTTGGTCACTACTTTCGCCGTGAGGGAGGAGAACTCCTTCCGCTCGGCGTTCCGCATTCTGCATGCCATGCTCAGCAGCGTGCAAGCCGTGCTGCACGTTCTCCTCGGCTTTCTCCATGCTTTTGCCCACTTCATGCTGGGCGTGTCTTAACCGGGATAGATTCGCTTCGACGGTTTGATGTACAATATCATGCCTTCCCCGATACAGCGATGTCATCTTTTCAGCATTGGACTCGAATGCGTTTCTGACGACTTCGACCTCGACCTGCCTGCATGTCAGCCAAAGGACTGTTGGTTGATAAAAGAGGACGTCACCTCTTCACCAGGTCCCGCTCTCCGTTCTATGATCTTGTGCGGACCTTCTTTCCACTCGGCGATCACGTCGTCGCCATCTGGAGGAATTTCATCCTTCGTATGACCTTCTTGTTCCCGTTCAGCCGCAGTCTCTCCGGAACTCTGATCCTTTTCTGCTGCAAAATCGCGCTGTTGTACTACATTTTCCTCGGGTGTCCCACTTTCTCGTCTGCGTGCCAACTTCTCGTCGTCGACAGGGGTAACAGATTCGCCTCTTTCCATCGCGCTATCTCTGTTGATGACGATTTCTTGGCCACGTTCGATCCTCCGAGTCTGATGCGTCCATTCGGGTGCGCTGCTGAGCGTGTCGCGACGAGACCATGTCCGCGAGACGGAACGAACCCGTCTACCTAGGGAAAAGAAGGGGATGGATAGGCCATGGACTGCCACCGAACAGAGTACCATGAAAGCCACTATGGGCTGAATGGATGCTTGAAGTAGTTCGGACTGGGTTTCTGGGGCGCCCTCTGGACGAGGGAGCTGTTCCGCGGCCAAGGTCGAGATGAAAACGGCACCTAAAAATTGCGGGTCGTGAATCGGCGCGTCAAAGACCAAGGAAACTTACCGATACCCATAGGGCCAAAATGACCGCTGAAAATAGCCTCTCTGAAAGTCTTCACATCCGGGATGAACTTGTATAGTGCGATTATGATGGGTAGTCTTCTGAGGAGAAGTATCAGAATCCCGATGACAATCAGTCGCCAGACGCTCAAAGTGAGATCCTCATTTGAGAACTGATTGAACGGCATCCAGGCCCCCACAAAGATGAATGCGGCCACGTTGAAGAGCAGATCCACCACGGAACTGAAGACCGAGTCTTCGGTCTGTTTGTTAAAGAACCCGTCCCAGGCGAAGGCCGTGCCACAGGAGAATGCCGCCAAAAGATCGTCTGAGCCAAGGAGAGTGCATACGCCAATCGTAAGAATAGCCAAGGAGACGTATTGCGCGACATAAGATTGACGATCTATGAGGTCCTTCCGCTCGCAAAACTTCATCAGATGACGGAAACCGTATCCAATTAGGGCGCCCATGACGATGCCAAGGATAACCTGATCTAAATGGTGGGTCCAAGGTGAACATGACCGCAACAATGCGATGCATAGAAGGGAAACAACGTACATAACCAAAGCAACAGGAACCAATCAGATATAGCTCGTCCAGTAGACTTGTCGAGGATGAGATAAAGTGATATGTACAGGAACGGGAAGGCCGCCCCATCGTTGCACCCGCTCTCCGCCGCAAGGAGATGCCGCAGGTGAGCGGGAACGTGTTTGTCAGCGTATTTACCACCTACAACGGCAGCAGCTAGGATGGGATCTGTAGGGGTAAGGCACGCAGCGACAGCAAGGGACGAAAGGAAGTTAAGCCCCGGGACAAGCGCATATATTAGGCCAGCAGAAACGAACCAGCCCTGAGGCTGTCAGTCGGCGATATTCCGTGGTAGAATGATACATTACTCACCCATGTCATGCAGGGAAATAACAGGTAAAACAAGCTCTTCCAGTGTTTGGCCATGTAGGCCTTCGGCAGCTCGACCCCGATGGCGAAGACTCCGATAGCCAACACTACTCGCGTAAATTCGAGGGTTATGGCGTTGCTAACCTCCTCTGAGCCACCCCCCCAATGTCTCGGATCGAATACCCCCGCGCCATAGGGACCTAGTTTGTTGATCTCAGTCATCGACCGGTATTGACGACAACGTGCGGCTTGTACTCACCGATGATGACGCCAAACAGGAATGCCAGGCAAGCCTCTCCAATATATAGCTATGAAGAACTGTTGTCATCTCCATTTCGAGTCTCAAAACGCAAGCTTCCCACCTTCTCACGGATGAGTAGCGAGAACATCCCAAACTGTGGCCACAATTGTCAAGACTATCCCTCGCGGGACAAAGACACACAGGTACTCACTATCACAACGAAACCGCCAAGTAGTGCGTAGGCCACATGTGGGATCGTCACTTCGAACTAACCCCAACGCCCTCAGCACCCGCCTGTCCACATAACCTTGCATCCACAAGTACTTACCGGATGGAAGGCCATCGCTCTCTCTCGCCTCGAGTCAGATACCCTCTATAAACGTTGGATCGTATTGAGTCGTAGTCGTTATGAGGGGAAGAAACCCGTGATAGGTCGTTCAAGTTGTGGTTCGAGAGATAATGAGGAGTTCTAAGAATCTTGGCCGAGCCAAGGAGGGCCGAGCGGTTCGGCCTAAGGCAGTCCTAGCGGATCGAGGGTTTGATTTCGGACCGCTTCGTCACGCTTGATCATTACCTCGCGCAGCGGCGATGATACAATTTATGGCTTGCACGCCGGGTGCTACGAAGGAAACACTGAAGAGTGGATGCCGAAGAGTCTTATAAGGCTCAGCGCTTAGCTTCTCAAGTTACCGTTATGGTCATCATCGTACAAATATTGCTGCCGAGTCACACGACCTGCGGCCACTTCGCCTGTCAATTCGGGGGACACGCTTTCCAGCAGGTTCTCGCGTTCTATCCATCTCAGAACCTGCGCCGGTCCGTTCTCTGTTGACGGTTCTGTCCTCCTATAACGGTAATCGTGAAGGCAATATCTGGGTTCACTGCCGGGATCCGTCCAAAGACGAACGATATCTTTATTTAAGGAGGACAAGGTCAATCTCCCCTGCCGAGAGTCTTTGGTCCCATAGATATACTCTATTTCCAACTGCGAACACGTTCCTCTCTCCCTCTTCTTCTGTGTGTTGCTCTTACCGTGTTTCTATCCGATGATGAACGTACCGAAGCGCCTTAGTCACCAGCCCGGATGGTGGTAACCTCGGAGGTGTCTTACGAGTTTAAACGAGGCGTCCTGGTATTCATATCAGGAACATAACATAACGGAACGAACACCGGCATGAGAATGTCTAGACAGCTACTCTTTCGGTCCTTGTTCAGCAGACAAACATTGCTTTTCGGAAACCGTTTTGTGGGTTTATCTCGCCCTCTTCAACACCTCGTGCTATGCCAACGTCCTGTTCCATCATTACCGCTGCAAGTCAACTAAGGTCTGTCTGCTTCAGAGGCCACCGCTCGTTGTGTGCTACGTGTCGCTCTCAGCTTCGCAGTCACAGAGTCGGCACATCCCACCCTCAGTATACGTTATCTCGGTGCTCATTCAAATTGGCATCTCGCACATAGAGGCGCTGCCTCAGGAAGGTCCGACCGAGATACCTAATCTCAACGCGATAATTGGCGCTCACGCTTCCCTCGTGTTCGAATCGTAGGTCACCGTCAGCGCTGTACTCTATAGGTCGGGCCTGGCTGTCTACTTCGGCCGCTGTCTGTGGATCATGCTCAGCCGCGCGCGGCGTCTTATTGGGTTCTACTTGCAATCCTCTCGCGAGCGTGGCTTCTCAATATATGCATTAAATCTGTGGGTCAGCGGCGTACCGAACTGGCTCAAGGCAACGTCTTTATTGCAATTGGTGCGTTAGTCCTGAATTCACACATCGACACGCCTTGCATTATGTGTTCTTGTTCCCATCAGCTGAAGTCCTCACCACAACGCTGGTGCAATCGGAGTAATGACTCCGGCAGGATTACCTGCAGGGTACTCATGGGTTGCATCGGGTGGCACCTCTTGACTCCGCCCTTCGTTCGGCCTGGAAGGGTAGGGCAGAACTCGCTTCACAGATGTTATCCTGCTCCAACTATTCTGCGCGGTTTTTCATTAATGACCATGTCTGACTAGATCTGCGACCTTCGTGCGCGTGCCCCTGGTTTCGGTGGCCAGCGATCTTCACCTGGTCTACTTTAAATTGATGGTATCGCCTATCAACCTTTTCCAGTTGGGCGTTCTCGCGCTTTGCCGCTATTGGACGTCCCAGGAATGACGGTTGCGTCGAATACCCGGGAATAATCCGACTGCTTGGATGCTATACGCGCACGTTTGGAAGTAATCGGGGCTCTCTCTTGTTGCACGAGCCCATTTTGCGCATCGCCGGCAATGGACTTCCTTCGTTTGGGGATATCTCGTGAATGAATCTCCTTTTGGCCGCTCGGAAATGGGGAGGTCGCGGAAATCTCGTGCGTACTCGTCATGGCTGATTTCTATCGATGCACGATTGCCGCACTGGATGCGACAACCTTGGTTTCATGGCTACTTTGACTTACACGGCATCTCTACTGGACGCCTGGAAGCTCATACCTGTCTGTTATGTGGCTGCTATGCGGATTTATATACTGCATATATTTCCTCGAGGCCCTTTTTTGAGACTCTCAAGATCTGACGACTCCGGCGCACGCGAAGTTATTTCATTGCAGGGACATAGGAGGGAAAGTAAGACATACTCCAAATACTATACTCGTACAAGCTCATAATACGAAGGGAGTGAGGCCATCGTAGAAAAGTCATTTCCAATACCACATGTCCGCACGGCTCCTCACATCCGGTTGGAGGACCGACTCTGTCTCCCGCTCTGCGAGATAGCGTTCCTACGAGCGAGCGGTGGAGCCATAGGTCCTGGCTGCCCGGAATTCTGCCTGGAACCCATCGGAGTCGGCGGCAAAGGATGAGAGTCATAGGCCCTCATCTTACTCTCGTTGAGCCTTGCGCTCACGCTAGCCAGTTTTGGGGAGGGGAGGTTGTATGCCTGCGCATGCTGTGGTTTGTCCGAGAGCGGAGTCCGAATGTACGTCGATGGTGCAGGCATCGTAGCTGCCTTGCGAGGAACAGGGCGGGTCGGGGCTGGTGGCCTGCCGGAATCCCTTGAACTACTGCGCGTCTGGGTCTGTGGTTGGGTCTGGGCACGCTTGACGTCGGGGCGAGTGGGGGCTGCAAGTGCTGATCTCGAAGGGATTGGGCGTTGCGAGACGTCAACACCCGCCTGCACCCTGTTTCGTGACCATCCATGCGAGGGATCGCTGCTATGCTGCGTGGTATGATGCCAGGAATGACCGTGCCTAGGCAGGCTCGGTCTGTCGTGCGACAGCTCCCTGCCGCGGCTAGACGATGAAGGATGGTCGTAGGAAGCCATTCCGTGCTCTCTCACGGATTGGGCCTTCTTCGGCTGTCTGTCGATCCAGTTGTGCGGGTCCATTTGCGGGTGCTGAGTCGACCCGTAGTTGACTGGCAAGGACCTGCTTACTTCGTGTCGCGACTTCTTCAAAGTATTTGACCGTGCACACTGGACACATATTGAATGTCTGTCAGCTATAACGCCTTGGTACTGCCGTAAGTAACTCACCTCTGCGAAATGCGACTCAGATTTCCCGTCCGCCGAATTAGGTGGGGATGGGGATTGCCTCTGGAGACAGACGCGGTCAGCCAGACGAGTCGGCGTCGTTCGAAATGCAGACGACGTACCTCGACATTCGCCTTCGGCGCGTCATCGCGAGACATAGGTATGACATGTAATACGGGGTATAGCTTACAATTCTATCCCAAGGGTGTCAATCCCGCACATGCGCCAAGGCCTGAGCAGCTTACCTGTTCAAGCTTCCCACTCCCTTCCGCACCCGCCTTTGATCCCATCCTCAGCAGCGGGAGTCGTCGGGAGCTGGACTTGCCGCTAGGCATTGGTGCCTTGGCGTCGCGAGTCTGAGTCGTGGACAACATGGTAACTGACATGGCGGACTTCGTAAAGACTTTGTGAGTGGAGCGCTTGGGAGGTGGTGACTGAGCGCACGCAAACCCCAAATAAAGGAGAACCGAAGAACAAGGATAAAGAGACTCGCAGCACCACGCAGTGGGCACGTACAGGCGGCTGACGGCCTGCAGTATCATGCTCCCGCAGACCGATTTAAGTGCGGACTGTAATGAACGCGAACCCTCGCTAACTCCAAGCCGCTCTCCACCTGACGGGATGGAATAGATAGATAGAACCACCCTCTTAACTTTACTCAGAGTTACTTGATCCTGATGGGATCCGTAGGACAGAGCCCGACCTTAGGCCAAACGGGACTCACTGGTAGGCTCGGGGCGTGTAACGGTGTATAAGCTCTGTACTTCAATGGGGTATCTATACAGATAGCGCCGGATTATAATAGATCCTCCGCACCCATCTCCGTCTCCTGGTCACACCGCCTGCCTGCCACCCCTCGAGCGGCGCGGGACGGGGATCCTGCCAAGCGTCGTTTGTGTACACCCAGCCGTCTACAGACACGAAGAAGTTCCAAGGACAGAGTTAAGTTAGCATCTCGATCTGCGCGGAAGGAGGGCAAGGCAATCTCACGGTCATCTGAGCCAGCCGGCGCCCACGAGGCCTCAATGTCTGGCCGCCAGTCCTCGGTCTCCACGAATGCCCAGCCAGGTGCGAGCGAGAACGTGAGGTTGCTACTGCAGGCGTGTTAGCGCACGGTCTCCACATAAAGCAGCGCATGCATGAAAGCACGAGATGAATGCTCAATAAAGAGAGCAGATGAACGAACGAGGACGGGGAACGAAGGGACTAAGAAGTCGAAGACGAGGCAGCACGGACCTGACATCACCGCTCCCGTCCATCTGCATGCCTCCCCATCCGTCCCTGCCTCTCGTCCACGCACTCCGGTCTGTCGCTCGCAGGTTTGTCTTGCTCCAGGTGCCAAGCACTGCTGCGCTGTTCTCATCGCTGCCAATGCTCGCCGAACCGCTCCATCGCTCGTTCTCCCACAGTTCGACCTCCCTCAGCTCGCTGCGCCAGTGCCGGTCTTCCAAGCGGTCGTCATCGAGCGCGCGGATGATCGTGGTATAAATGTGTTTCCGCGATTGCACGATATGCTGTGGGAGCGGAGCGGGGCTGGAGGGGGATAGTGAGAGGAATGCGCGGACGAGCGGGTAAATACGCGCTCGGACAAAGGGATGTGTTACGAGAAAGGGAGCCATACCGAGGACAAGGAACATAGGGCGCACGGGGAGAAGGCTGACGAGGGGGAGAAGGAGGAGGAAGGATATCGTTGTAAAAGCGAGGAGGGGGTAGGTGGATGGCGTGGAGTATGTGAGGTGTGGGACAACGGGATACACGAAATCGTGCGCGTCAGACCTAAAACAAGGTGAGTTCTAGCGAGAGGCAAAGGATAGTAGCGATGCCTACACAAATCCCATAAGATTCTGGATTGCTTGGAGGTTGGCAAGCCAATCTACACTCCCTTCTCCAGCGGATGATGGCGGCGGTGGAATGGTAGAGTCATTGTCACGCACAGATGCGGAGCCCGACTTTCTCGAAGGGTGGTTCACGAGTAGGATGCCCAAAAGGACGGCATGAGGTAGAAGTAAGATAAGACGGGGAAAGTAGCCTGTGGTGAGAAGTCAGAAATCACAGCCTGAATGATACGAGGCACAAGCGGCAGGACTCTACGCATTAATGCATAGATCCTTAGGATCCATGAAGTAGGAATCCGATGTACTTACACAGAAAGGCATAAGCGGACATCCACACTCCCGTAACTTTCCAGCCCTTCCTCCACATAACCACCTCCTCAATCCTATCCTGCAGCCAGAATATCGGCCCACTTTTCGACACAAACCGTCGAAAGTTGACCGAAGTTATGGGGATAGAGAGCGGATCGCGGGTGCTCAGTAGCTGACCCTGCGGAGCCCCCGTCGCAGCATTTCTAGGCGCCGGCGGGGGGTTCGGAAGAGTAGAAAGCAGAATCTGCGGCAGATTGAGTGCAAGTGGACCCTTGGCGGGCGGACTGGGAAGGCCAGCGGATAGCGGCGAGAGCACGGGCGACGATTCGGGGTTCGGGAGGGACGTGGTTATCTTCGTAGCCGGGCGCACATTCGACGACGACGACACATTTGACTGCAGTCGCGTCGCGTACGAGGGTATCTCAACGTAGTCCATAGTCGCCATGGCCGGCGTGCATGGCTTGAAGTTGCAGAGCGCTCGCCGTCGCGTCCGACGCAGGGAACACGTGTTTGGCGTCTTCCCCGCATTTGGCCCACTGACTTACCGCCGGCTCGCTTATTCGACGCTGCGTCTCAGACCACTCTGACGTTCCCTGATACATACATAGGCGCGCCATCGTATGAGCGTCAACGTCAACCAGGGCATACGCATGCACAGTCGACCGCTGAGCATGAGCGGGATACGCAAACGTCTCCCGTTCGCGTCGGGAGACTTGACTGAGGACGACGGGCACGTTCTCGACGATCAAGGTGAAATCACGGTGTGTCTGCCATCTGCAGCGTGTTCTTGACACTCTTCCATGCAGAGCAGGATGAGTTAATCAAGGATCTGCGTCGCAGAAATATCCAGCAGATGCACGACTATACAATTGGTCTCAGGTTCCTAGTCGGACTCTCATACATCTTGTAAGTGCTATTATACCTCGAGCTCAGACACGCACACTAAACGAACGTGTAATAGACACGCGATATCTCTATTTTCTTCATACCCTACACCTCTGCATGCCCTCCTCACTTCAGCACAAACCCCGCTCCCACGTCCGCTCCCTTTATTCCCCTTCTTCACGCTCAACTCAATCCTCATCCACCTCACGCTCTTCGTGCACCTCACGCCCTCAATGAACCTCATCTCCCCCACGCGCACCCTCTCTTTCCTCCCCATGCCCTTCTCCGTCTTCATCCCGCAGATCCTCTACCGCCCGCACAAGATCCTCGCCATAGCGTCGCTCCCGCCCATCCTGCTCGCGCTCGTATGCAAGCTCGCGGGTCGCTCGGACTGGACGAGCCTCGGGTGGTGGTGCAACCCGCTCGTCCTCGTCGGCATCGTCAAGGTCGTCGAGGGCTGGATCGGAGACGCCGAGGAGGACGTCAAGCGGCTCGAGCGGATGAAGTACAACTACCGCGGCGCCTAGATCGCCGCCACTGCATGATTGGTGTTATATAGACACGGGCACGTTTTCGTTTACTCTGTCTTACGGCTGGGTCTCGTTCACATGTACTCATTGATCTCTCCCCAATGTAGCTATATTGTAGATTATTAGTTATATGCTTTCATGCTGTCGCTCCGCTCATCTAAACTTTTTTTCCCATTCACAACGGCTTAATGTTCGGGACGAATCAGGCGGGCGTGTCCTCACTGCTACGACAAATATATATAGGAACGAGACTACTGCCACGAATCTGCTGAGCTGACTTCCCTGGGCTTCTCTGGAGCGCTGTCACGAGCCGTATTTGCAAACTCAAAAGCATAATGGAATAGAAGACTGACCGCAAGTATAAGCTGTATGTATCTTTGGGTACAGCTGCTGACTGGGATGGACGTTCAGCGACGTTGCGACCTGGCCTGCTTCCGACCAGTTGAGAGCGGGCTAATAGACCCAATCCCTTCCTCGTGGTTTCTGGTAATCCCAGCTTCAGTCATGTCTGAATGCTGAGAGCAAATAAGGGAGTCTCTCAAAGGTTGACATCGGTAGAAGCCTGGCATGAACAATGTAATACAGTGAGTCCCCTTACTGCCAAGCGCCAGGCAACAGTATGAAGGGCTATGGTCCGGTATAGCAGATGAGCGAGAAGGTAAGGCCATCATATAAGTCAATAGCACCGATGAGTTTGTCACAAGGCGACACGATCTAGAGTTTCGACGCCATGCTTGACTCGCACGTCCATAACCTCTTCTAACGATAATCGACACAGGCGCTCTTCAAAGCGGGCCTTCACCTTGTCAACCATTCTCGAGGGATGCAGGTCCGGATAACTGCCAGCAAGATGTGCAGGGCACGAGAACTTGACGAGGGTTGTCTCTCCTCTCCCAATCTCTGTATTTGCTTTCCCCTTGGGAAGCAAGGGTGGGTGGGAGACGATGCATTCGTATACATCCAACGCGACGCCACTGAGGATAGCCTGAGATTCCAACCCGGCTGTTGTAAGCATGTACGCGACCGGGTACTCGAGGAGAAGCGCGGTGAGAGGGATGAGAGCCTCTGGGCCGGTGCCCTCCGGCAGGGTCAGCTCGATGGACGTAGGGGCCGAAGGTGGTGATACGCCGTTTGCCAGGATTTGGGACAGCAGAGAGAGCATCGGCGGCGGTGCTTGAACAACCTGGTGTCAGAGGTTCTGGTTCAGAGGTGCAAATTGGAGCGACTTCATCCACTAACCTCGTCTGATGGGCTTGCTACCTGGACGAACGTAACCCAACGTTCCAGGCTCTCGGGGCAATCGGCTGCCCGAGACAGTCCAAAGCGAGCATGAAAGAGTCCCAGATTGACAAAGAAAGACTGCTGAGAGGTGGATTCATACACATGAGCCACATCATTGAACCTTGGATCTTTCTGTTACAAATGATGGGATACTTCCGTCAATTAGGGATATTTCAGCAGGATGGGGCCTGGGGCTAACATCTCGGAGGCTACTAATAAGCTTTGAGAATGTCGAGATCGGGTTATCAATGCTGAATTCATCGACCAGATAGCCTGATCTGTCATCGAAATCAGAGTATATACTTGAGTAATTATGAGTTCATCCTTACCGAACCTCGAGAGCCACGAAAGCTACGTCAACACAGAACTGCTGACATTTCGTCCGGGATACTTTACTCAGAGAAGGTATGCTTTGGAATGCATCATAAATTGCCCGCGCAGTTTCGCTCAGCGACAGCGCTCGAGCAGTTGTGGCAGCCAGGATGACCGAAAGAGAGTACTTGTACTTGGGTGGCGCCCGGTGACGCGTCGGTCCCCGCATGTGATTTTCCCGTGACTTCAGCGCGCACCTGTCCCGGTGCCTAATCGGAATCCTATTCGAGCAATGTTAGCACCGCTCTTCGTCAAGCATCCCCACCAACGACCACCGCAGCAACCACGATGTCGTCGACCGTAGCACCCAAGATTGTGCTGTACTGGTTGGAACAATCCAAGGCGCACCGAATTCTGTGGCTGCTGGAGGAAATAGGACTCAAGTACGACCTGAAGATATACAAGAGAGAGAACGGTCTCGCACCTGAGGAACTCAAGAAAGTAGGTCTCAAGCATCTCGAATTCTCGCAGGACTAAAGAATGTTTCGTTTAGATCAATGGCCTTGGCAAAGCACCGATCATCTCTGTCGAAGACCCATCCCTGTCCCCCGAACCGATCATCCTGTCCGAATCCGCTCTAATAACCGAGTTCCTCGTGTCGAACTACGCCCCTCAGCTCGCACCCCCTCCGTCAGACCTCAAAGCGAACTTACGATACAAATTCTACCTCTACTACGCCGAGGGCGGCGTCTTCCAACCTCTCCTCGTGCACCACATTCTCGACATGGTCCACACCGCGTCCCCCTTCTTCATCAAGCCCGTCGTCGGCGGGCTCCTCTCCCAGCTGAAATCGCGGTGGCTGAACAAGGCGTACGACGACCACCTCGGCTACGTCGAGCGGGAGCTTGAGGGGAAGAAGTTCCTCCTCGGCGAGCATTTCTCCGGCGTGGACTGCCTGCACAGCTTCAACTGGCAGAGCTTGGAAAAGCTCGGAGCGCTAAACAGTCAGCGGTATCCGCGTTTGATGGAATATTGGAATGGGCTGCAGCAGCGGGAAGCGTACAAGAAGGCGCAAGAGAAAGTTAAAGGCCATAAAGCCTTGCTGTGATGCCAGCTTGTCATATAGACCTTGTATATCGTGTTCTTGAAGATTGTACTAATAGTTGACTAGGGGCCTACCCCATCCCACATCTCGTGCTAGTGTGCATTCTCGGTCCGCCCAGTCGTGCCAGGGAACATTGTCAGAAGGAAGGGCACCACTTTCGGGGATACGAGAAATACAGGGCGTAATAACGATACAATACCGACCCTGTCGCTACTTGAAGACTCAAAGCAATAAAAATCTAGAACTATAGTACAACAAGCAAAGAAGTACAAAGGCCCAAGATTTCACGCAACATGGATACACTCTCTCTGCCCGGCGTCCCCTCGTCCAATGTACATCACCTTCTCCGTCCAATCCTCTTTCACGGCGCCGTCGCATTCAGCCAAGTCGAACTTGGCCTGGAAGCTGGGCTCGCGAGAGAGGTACACGGGAGGTAGCCTCGGCTGTTGAGGGGGGCGCCAGAATGCCCACGTGCGGAGGACGTCCTAAGTCGCCATGTAAGACGGATATAAGTAGGAGGTCAAGACTTTATGCTTACGCCTTGAAGCCCGAAAATGATGAATACCATGAATCCGACTATATCGGCTGTCAGCCTGCAAGGCAAGAGGCAGGAGTCAAGAGCGACGTACTGGTAGCAGCAAACATGTCTGGCACGACCGTGCCGTTGGTGAATATAGTCGTGACGTCCAGACTTCGAGATGATCATCAGCAAGGTATCAAGGTCCGGTAGGGTGCGGAAGGCGTACATCATCCCGATGAATATGTACAACTCGAATATGCATAACCGGATGATGAGCTGGAGGTCGACATCACTAGAATGGCCGGCCTTTCGAAGCGCGCGCCAGTTCCGGGACAGAATGACGCCGATGTGAACTGCACGAATAGAAAGTAGGCATGAATGATTAGCACGGAAGTGGAGACGCTTGCGAACCTTGTAGTGCAATCGCCGAGAGGCATGCGATTGCAGTGAAAAGGGACATCATGTTCGTGCTGTAAACCCATGAACGTCTGCAGGACCCAATGGGTCGCAATCACGTACAAAGGGTCATTCCACAGGGAACAGTAGAAGTACCTTCGTGACCGGCTGACATGGTCGGGGTGCTGCATAGCCAGCTGTATGCAGGCTTAGAAATGCGACGCGGTGGGTCATCGAACAGCCACTTACAATAGCGCATGCTGTTGACCAAATAGCCAGCGTCACATACGGAGCCACGAACAGCTGCAATGCAGGGTATTGAGAACTCAGGGACGCTACTGCGCACAAAAGTGCGCATTAGAGAGACATACGGCACAGAGCTTCCACCTGCTTAGTGGCTTGGAAACACCGGGTAGGGAGTTTCGTACTTGATACACAAACGCCAGGACAGCAACCGACCACCTATCGATGACATGTAGGCAGTCATCCATGAACCCCCGTATAAAACTCAACGTACATAGGCGGTGTGCCGTTCAGCATCGAAGCCTGGGCTATGCAAAGATTCTTCTCGGGCTCCTTCCCTCGTTCATGGCCCACATAGAGCCTGGGTTAAGAATCAGCCCCCACTCCAGGGAGACGCTGTGATAGCTGCACGCACAGCATAGACGAGAATATGCCGCTCAGAATCCAAGTGACGCAGACACTGATCAAGGTGGCGGGTCGTTTAGCGTATTTTGACAGAACAAATGTCGCCATTAAGATGGGAAGCAAGACATGGGAAGACGAGATATGGAAGAACAGGAACGCCTTCAGATACGCTGGTCCGTCAGATCCTATTTCCTGAGCGTTTATGCCTGCACATGCCACCTGAGATGAGAGCTTCATTGAACACGAAGTCCTGAGCTGCTCACGTCTATAGAGACCCATTTCTTCGTACTGTAAGCTCCCGAAAGTCATGGTGCACTCAAACTTCCACCGCGGATCCAGCTGGGTTACGGTAGCCTCGACTGAGAAAATTAGAATAAAGATCGCCGGCGATGCCCAAGTCTAGCCAGAGACCGGTTTAGAAGTTGAAGAGTAAAGACCGACGTCGTCCAGCGATAGAAAGCGACGGTGAGGAAAGAGAAGCAACAGCAGCAAGTACTACAAGCCCGCTTGGAAGCTAGAGGCTGGAAACCATCCGGGGGAATCTGAGGACCGTGTGCCTCCTCGACATACGCGCCTGATCTAATCCAGGCTGTTTGAATGTCGTGATGGTATAAATGATCGGCCTGGGACTCTCGGCGTTGCTAATAGCTGCTCCCGCTGAGTAGCGGGACTTGTGTCGTGATCGTCTTGATTGACGATCAAGGCACCTGTCCAAGCAATACGGGGCTCGGCACGATGCTCGCAGCCGTCCACGACCGCGACGTCGAGAGCATCTGGTGTCAGTGCATCTGTGGACTGGATTCAGAGGAAGCAAGACGCTAGTCGTGCCGGCATGTCGAGCCTGAGGATGCCCGGATGGTCGAGCTCGGGCAGTAAGTACTACACTGGCATAGGGACCATGAAACAGCAGGACGAACATGACAATCTGCTCAACATAGCAATTTGCAACGTTTGTTTCGGTGCGACCGAGCTCATCGGATCTCCTTCAGAAATCCATCAAATAACAGTATGTGTGTGGAGACGCCTATTCCTAATTGTGCGATACTGGCGGATGCCAGTTGATTTGTCTAATTTACTCACGTTGTACGATGCCACAAAACATGTACAGTTGTGCAATTGTCAGTCACGAACTCGACTATGATATGATACAGATCTTGGTGATTCCTTCATCCTCGTCCTGGCTCATGTGCCCTCCATTTGCGCATCCGCGGTTTCATTGTTCATGTTGACAATATCCTCCGGTGGAATATCGAGGGCCGTGCCTTTCCGTTTACGTTCAGCCAAGAAGGCATCAATACGAGCCTTGAGTGCAGTGTCTACAAGACAGTCAGTTGGGTGCGTCGCAGAAGATCTCAGAATAGCGAAAGGAAGCTCACCCGGTACCACATCTTCGATGCTGAGGGGTTGTCTGTTGAATGGGTCCTTGCTATCTGACAGAAGATGGGCCTTGATGGTGGAGCGGTCTATGACTGTCCGAGACGATGGCAGGATGACGGGATCACGCATCAACGTGAACATGAGTGGATCTAACCAACAAACATGCGGTGATTAGTTCTGAACAGTCGCTTTAGCTTTCTCCGAGTAGGACGCACCTAAGAACTCATCAGGTATGTCGCCCAAATCTTCTTCTGCTTCAATGGTAGCCTTCGTCTCCTCGACTTTCACCACGAACATCCTCAGCTTCTCGACCTCGTCCGGGGTCTTCAGGCTCCGATGTCGCGCAATATACATCGCCTTCTCGAACAACTCCTTCTTGTAGCTGCGCCCATCTTCAGCAACGGCCCGCGCAAAGTCACCTTGATCGCTCAAGTTCAGATACACTTGCAGTATATCACTGAAGAGCTGTCGAGGATTGAACTTGTACTTCTCCTTGTCCTTGACTTGCAGATCGGCGGCACGATTGACGAGGACATCCAGATTATAGTCCAGCATCGCCGCCAACCTGCCGACAATCTCCGGCATCATGAAAGGTCCTTTTGTCTCCGCAGTGAAAAGCCTCAGCATGTCTACCGTCGATCGGCCGAGAGTCGTATAGCCGATGGCATGCCGTTCAAGTTGGCGCAGCGTCGCCTCTCGTTCCCGGCGCGTCTGCAGAGGCTTGGTCTGCCAAGACGGATCCTCCATTTCTACTTGAATATTGTGAATTTGCGTGAGCTCGCTGAGAGACTCATCCATCAAGTACGTGACATCGTTGATCATCAAGTTGACGAAGCGGACAAACTTCTCGACGTTACTACGAAGAAAGCGTGTTTAGTCCAAGTAACCGAGACAAAGCTAGCAGAGCATACTTGGTTTCGTTCCGCAGAGCATCGCGGTGAATTGGGTTATCCCACACCGCTTTAAGAATGTAAGCGATGTTACGACTGCCAATGACGGTGAGCCTAGATCCTTTCCCTCGTCAGCTCAGCCTCACTCACCGAGCATCTGAAATACGAGAGGTAATCAAATTGAGGTAAGAAATCGTGCTTAAAAGTCTTCTCACGCACTGAATTTATCATAGAATTGTGAGCTGGCACCGGTTTGCTCCACCTCTAGTTCCAAGTTAGGCAAGCCATGATTATACACCAAACATCGCCATACCTATGTAGAAGTGCATCAGAGCAGACATAAGATGCTTCAGCGCCACCGGATGCGAGTTCAGGGTGCCTCCCAGGACGCCTGTCCGCTCGCCCCGGAAGGGCAAGGTACCATAGAACAATACCTATAAAGCCATGAGCATCGGACAGGGGCTATCGCGGCAGAAACAGTACCTACCTCGTTGATCTTGGCTTTCAAGAACGGGTTCTTGATGTACCACGTAGACGTCAAGAACGTCAGACAGAATATGACCAGCTCGTTTTTGCCGGAGATATCCAGGCTCTGCGGGGTATGCCTGCTCGCGCCTTATCAAAAAGAGCAGAGGGTCATCCATACCTGATCCACTTACCGAACGGTGTACAGGTAGTAGTCCACAATGTCTTCAAGCAGATATTCCGGCAAAACCCTGAAGGACAGCGGAACCTCTTTGGGTAGCGGCAATCTAAAGCGCGAGCACCTCCATGAACACCGCGACTCCCAGAAACGAGAATGAGACGGACGCACTCGACAGCGGGATTCGGGTGCTTCTTCTTCGGGTCCACAAATCGGATCATCCACACCGAGACGAAGGTCACGAACCCGATCGAGCGGAAGACGAGCTCCGGGTCGGCGAGCTGTGTCTCGTACGCCAGCTGTTGCATGTGTATTTTGGACATTTCGTTCTGTGAAAATCGCGTCATTCGCCTGCACCACCGGTGAGCATCCCCCAGAAGACTGTACCTTGACGTTAGTGATAGCAGCCTCCGCACGCGCCTGGAACGGTGTCTACAACAGCGAAAAATCATTGGGCAAGACAGCATGGCGAAGCTCAAAACAGCACCCACCCCTTGCCACGACGTATCCCCCTGCAACATATCCAAATGCCGCTGCAAATCATCAATATGCTTCGCGAGGTCATCATACCACTGAATCGTCCGCTGGTACCCATAATGGTTCATCGCGAGCGCCAAGTAGAATATATCCGATATGAAGTTCGGGGGCGGCGCTGGAATCCATCGTTCAGCCCCATAAATCTTCCAGTGGATGTTATGAACACTCACTGCCGTCCGCGCGGTTCTGCTCTGCCCACTGATTCGCCTCGTCGCTCGTCGCGTTGATGCGCGTCTCTTCTTTCAGGTCTATGCGCGACGAGTGGGCGTAGTACAGAGGATCTATTCGGTCTATCTATACGAGGTCCCCAATTGACGCGAGTGCCAAAAGGATGGTAAGGTTAGTCATACCTTGGAGTAGTGCGCGTCCATGAAAGGCTCGGCAAACCGGAAAAGGATCGTCTGGGCGTTCACCATGAAAGAGTCGGATGTTACAGTATCAGGCTCGACCTGGCCGCGTCACATTACCCGTCAGATATTGACACCAAGTCAAAGAGAAGTGCGAAATATACCTGCATCCCCGCACGCTTGACATTCAGCGAGACTATCCGTGCGAAATACTGCAAGACAGCTTCCCGGGCCTCGGGGGACGCACGGACGATGGTGTTGAAGACCTGGAAGAGTGTCGACTGGGAAGAAAGTCAACACCCGTCAAGCCAGTCTCAGACCACAAACTATGTGGCATACCTGTAAGGTTTTCAGAGTCCCCCGAAGACTGGCAAACGACGACTCGACATCTGGCCGCGTCCTTTTCTCCGGCTCCGAGTAGTACGACCTCGCAATCGCCGGCTAAGCGCGAGGATCAACCAGCCGCACACCACACCGCAAGCGCAGCCCACTCACCCACTCCCGCTCAAACACGCCCAACCGCAGCAACGGCCCCATCAAGCTCTCCTTCTCGAACGTCGACGCGCTCGCCCCGGGCGGGTTCCACCTCTCCATCCGCGTGATCATCGCCGCAACGGGCTTGATCGCCACGAGCGCCTCCAGCCCGCCCAACACCCCCCGCCAGCTCGCGTCGCCGCCGCCAATCCCCCCGGGGCGGAAGAGCGCCTCGTGGAAGAGCAGGCGCTCGACGACGGGCCCGAGCACGCCGTCGAGCTCGCCGTCCGGCTCGAAGCGGCGCACGAGGTCGTGCAGGAAGGGCTCGACATCGGACGGGCTGAGGGATGCGTCGGGGTAGGAAGAGGATAGGAGCGGTGCGGAGAGGGAGGTGAGGGAGAGGAGCGGGGCGACGAGCTCGGCGGGGCCGAGGTCACGGCTGCGATGGAGGTGAGGGAGGGACAGGGCAGGGAAGAAGGGGGAAGGCTTACCCAGAGGGCTGGGGAAACATTTCTGGTTCTTGCAGGGTCAGTCCGGCGTAGCTGATTACGAGGTCCCGGAGCTTGTCCAGGACGCCGAGAGCCTGTTGGACCTCGGACGGGGGATAGTTCTAATTGAATTGTTAGCACAAGTTGACGACTTGGCGAAGAGGAAGAGGCATACCTTCTTCATCAGAGCTGACCGTGCAGAATTTATTCGCTTCCAGCACCCAACTAGGTACTCAAAGATCGTCTGGGGCGGCAAGGACGCCAGTACGGGGAGGAACTCCAAATCATCTCTGTGCGGGTTCAGCACACATGAGGCCATGCCACAAGGAGAGAGACACCACTCACGACATGGCCTGCGGATCCAGCTCCAGACGTGCAATCAGGACGCGATCCAGGATCTCAGCATCCAGCCGGCGCGGCTGGGGTAGCTCTAAACGCATCCAGTCAGCTATTTGAAACAGGAAGACATAGCAGACCGACACACCAGGCTCCTCAGACGCGAGCTCCTCCGCGAGCGGCTTCAGCCAAATGAGCTCATGCCCAGTACGCTCCGCGGCTCCTTTCTAATCTCCATCAGCACCCCGCACGACTTATGATCAGACAAACGAACTCACATCCAACGTCACCTTGAGAACATCGCGGATCGTGTCGTTCTCCCAGGCGGGGAGGTCGAGCTTCTGCGGGGCGGGCGTGCGCTTTGCCGGCGCGAGCGAGGGCGGCGCGGCCGGCTGCGCGGCGGGGCGCTTGGCTGGGGGAGGCGGGGAGGGTTTCGGTGTGATTTTGGGCGGAGGGGGCGGCGGGGCGGCGGCGGAGGGCTCGGGGGTGGTGCTGGTGCTCGCTGCTGCCGACTGCAGCTTCGCCAGTCGCTTCAGTCGGATCTGTACAGTAATTTCCTGGCATTAGTAGCTTATACACTAGCTGCTTCCGTCCAACGCACCCGATCGGCGTCCTCCTGCGGGTTGCTCATCGCAATCGAGTGCAAGTGCGTAGACGAGAGTGAGCAGCAGCGCAGAGGCACACGCGCGTCCACAAGCCAGTGACGCGTTGGCGAGATGTCGACTTCCGCATGTTGTCCTTCGCCCTCACTGGCATCGGCCGGCTCGCCTCGACCGCCCGCCTCTTCTCCTCCGCCGCCGTCCAGCAGTTTCCGAAGCTCAAGAGCCATAGCGGCGCGAAGAAGCGATGGAGGGCCATCGCGTCGGGCGTATTCAAGAGGGTGAGCGCAGGGGACTTGTGTGTTTTCTGGCCTGAGGACTATGTTGATCGGCGTGGTTTGCTCTGTTTGAAAGGCCCATGCAGGGCATAAACATTTGAACGTGCACAAGTCCCCGGCGAGGAAGAACAAGCTCGCGCAGACGGCGTACTCGCATGGCTCGCAGACGCCGAAGCTGAAGAAGCTGTTGCCGTATGCATGAGGGCTGGGTCCTGTCGACTACTGACCACGAAAAACACGGAGAGGAGAGGGAACATCGTGTGAGCATTATTTTCCTCGCCACAACGTCTGTCTAATTGCTGCGTCCCAGGTATCATCTATCCACATCGTATATGCGTACACTGCGAGGCAGAATGACGGCGTGCAACGTATACCGACGTATTATCCTTACTGCTGTGACCTACACGCTCCATCCCGTCCTTTTCTACGCATACACTGCTGTCTACTTTGTTTCGTCTGGCGTAACAGTCTCATCGCGAGCGTTGCTTGCCGAGTGTTCGCCCACGGCCGCACCTCCGAAGAAGGCACGGATGTCAGCCTGCTTGGGGTCGTATGCCTGTCGACCGATGCCCCCTCCCTGACGGACCTGCAGAGCTTGCATAAGTACCGGTCCAGAAGGTAATGAAAAGTAACGTTTCTTACGATGTTGTCGATGTGTTCGTGACGGTTGATGTCGGTCACCTTTATTGTCAATGGGGGTGGGTCGTCATCGGGAAACTCGAGCGGCTCTCCTTCCTTCACGCCCTGTAAAAGTGTGAACAGTGGCACAGGTACCGAGAGCTCGCCAAGCCCTACCTGCACATCAATAGCCACCCTCGTCCACGCAGTATTCAACAACCCCTTGTACTTATCCGCACTCCCTCCGCCCCCCGCATTCTTCCTCATAAGCGCAGCAATCAGCTCGCTAATACACAGCCCGTGACTAACCAGCGCAACATGCACCCCCCTCTTCCCCTTCCTCGCCGCCTCCCACACATGCGGCATCACCAGCCTCCCCACCGCCTCCTCCGCGCGCTTCGCGAGGTCGTCCAGGCTCTCTCCCCCGGGGAACGCCTCCGCGCGGTTGAACAGCACGGGGTATATCCCGCGTGCATAGTGCTCCTCGAGCGAGAGCCCGGGCTCGGTGTGCAGCGCCCACGGCTTGCCCTCGGCGACGCCGAAGTGCTGCTCGCGGAGCAGCGGGGAGGAGTCGAAGGCGGGCTTTGGGGCGGGCTGGGCGTCGTAGATGGCCTGCGCGGTGGTGAATGCGCGTTTGAGATCCGAGGCGTGGATGGCGGTGAAGGGGGTGGAGGAGAGGGATTGGCCGACTGCGCGTGCTTGCTGTTATGGAGTGTTAGATGGGTGGCATCGGAGGGATGCGCGGTGGACTCACGTTCATGCCTGGAAGGATCCCAGTTCAGCATTTGTCCGACGAGCTCTGGGCAGGGGTGCTCACCGTGATTCGACAAGGGCGCGTCTTCCCAGCCAGCCCATACACTGCGCTGTATGCATGCTGATCAAACAAAATCTCGCCATCAGCCAGAGTGTCGCTCACCAGATTGTCGGTCGACTCCCCATGCCTGACCTATAATTGAGTGATCACTTAGCGGATGAAATTACTTACACCACTCAGTGAGTGAATCGGGTCGAAACTCACAAAGGTAATACTAATCATCGGCGTCGCCATGGTCGCTCTTTCGAAGTGGTCGTCCTGTGAGGGGGAGCGCGGAGAGTTCGACTCCAAGCAGAGACCGAAGCAAGATCGAAGCGTCGGACGTGGATGACTCGGCCCACTCGGAGGACGAGCCGAAGTGTTTGTGGCAGTGCACTCCACGTGGCACACTAATCTCGCTGAGTCAGCGTCCCTGCCCAGCAGAGCCAACGCGTCCCCCGCCAGAACGTTCACGACACTTCATGACTCCCTCCGTACGCGCGTCCCCTCTCCTCCCTTCATAAGCCACTGGACCGTCACTTGCATTCACATCACACACCCATCGTCCTCGCCATGTCTGACAACCGCGACCAACTCCTCGCCATCGGCGCCCAGTGCTCAGAGGCTACCTGCCACCTCGTCGACTTCCTCCCGTTCAAGTGCCAGCACTGCAACCTGCGGTACTGCGGGGACCACTTCAAGCCCGACGCGCACAGGTGCAGCAAGTACGACGAGAGCAAGGTCAACCGCGTAGCCCCCGCATGTGCGTGTCCCATTCATACAAACGCCCAGGTATTGACTCGCTGTTCGCAGGCCCGCTATGTAACACCCCCGTCGCGATTCCGCCAGAGCAGGACCCGAATATTAGGATGGAGCGGCACATCCAGAGCGAGTGCTCCGTCATGACCGGGAAGGCGCCCAAGAAATCCAGCCCGGTCTGCGGGCGGCCCAAGTGCGGCAAAGTACTCTTCGCGCCCATCACCTGCGATGTACGCCTCCCACTTCCCGAGCTTCAGTCTCACACTAACTCACTGCGTACAGAAATGCAGAAAGCAATTCTGCCCCTCCCACCGCTTCCCAGCGACGCACAACTGCGCCTCCACCGCCTCCTCTGCCCAGTCCAAGCCCTCGTCCTCCCGATCCCCACCCATACCCAACATGTCCAAAGCCCTCGAGGACCTCCCCGCACGGACGAACGCCGCGCTGGCCGCCGTCAAGCGGTCCATGGCGAGCCAGAGCACGCCTACGGTCAATTCGCCGCGCGTCGCCGCGCCGGCCGTGAAGCAGGCGAGCTCGGAGTCGAGCAGCAAGTCCGGCCCGGGGGGCATGCGCAACCCGTTCTCGCAGGTCGACCGGTGAGTGGTCTGTGTGCATCGTTCGCAGTATACGCTCATGACGTATCAGCCTTGCTGCATCTGCTTCCAATCTATCCGTATCTGCCTCTAATAACGGCTCGAATACCGCTCCCGGTGATGATGCTAATCGAACGGATAATTCCGACACTGTTTCCCGTAAATCAACGCAATCGCAATGGAACCCGATGTCGTTCCTCCCACCTCCCGTATTCGCTCGGGCCTGATCCCCTTTCTTGTATCCATACGACCGCACCACTGTATCCATATCCATATCCACTAGACGCGCGAGGGAGGAGAGGGAGAGCCGGAGGAAGGCGATGCAGGAGCGGGCGCGCAAGGGCGTGAGTTTCGCTTCCCGTCGTGTTTATTCAGGGAACTGACCGCGCGCGGGTAGTTGCTCTCGGAGGAGGAGAAGCTCATCCTGGCTGCGGAGGAGGCGGAGCGGGCGGCGAAGAAGGATGGGGAGTGCAGGGTTATGTAGCATTTAGATGGTTTTTTTTTCGTCCTCGTTCTTTAGTTTGGTGTTCTACGCTGTATTTGATTTCGTGTTTTATGGATGTGGATGGACTTGGATTATACATGCTAGTCTAATCGCAAGTGCTCTTCTGAATCTCCTCAGCATCGTGGCTTGCCCGGCTGAGTCTCAGTCTGCAGTGAGTAAAGACGCGATCGGCCCCGCACGTGTCCAGCGATCTTCCTCGCGTCCACCGCCACCGCCAACTACAGCTCCTTGTCCTCTCCGCACCATGGACACCGACGCGCAAATGGCGCCCCCCGAAGAGAGACCCGGCGACTCCGTCCTCGGAAAACGTACTCGGGAGGGCCACGACGCCGATTTATCTTCAGAGGCGAAGGCCGCGGTCGCGGCGGTCAGCGAGGGCGCGGTGCCCAAGGAGGAGGAAGACTCGGACGACGACGACGTCGGGCCGATGCCCATGCCCGACAGCGGGAACGGGGCGGTGAAGAAGAAGCGCAAAGGTGCGTGTGTCGTGTCCTCGGGCGCGTTTATGAGTGGGGGAGCCCATGTTCATGTCGTTTCTCTGACAGTGCTGCCGAATGAACGCCTGTTCCTGGACCATCTCCCCAGCGCGGACCGGTACTACAAGAGCTTCATGCACCGCGACGTCGTCAACTTCAACATCTTTACCAGGTGTGCCTATGTCTTGGTCTTGCAGAGGGAAGTCCGCTGATGCAGCCCACCATACAGGACGGAGTTCCTCATCACGACATCCGTGGACGGGCACATCAAGTTCTGGAAGAAGCAGGAGCAGGGCATCGAGTTCGTGAAGCACTACCGCGCGCACCTGTCCGCCGTCGCGGGCATCTCCGCGAGCGCGGACGGGCAGCTCTTCGCGAGCATCTCGGAGGACGGGCAGGCGAAGGTGTTCGACGTGATCAACTTCGGTCAGCAGCGCATCACCGTCCTGGCTCGCTCGTAATGACTAGAGATGGATGTTGCAGACATGATCAACATGATAAAGCTGGGCTACGCGCCGCACGCGTGCTGCTGGGTGCACCGGCGCGGGCAGGCGCAGGGGCTCCTCGCGGTGTAAGTCGCCGCGCACGTCTCGGGCCTGGGTGTGTTAATGATAGTGCAGCTCAGACGCGAAGACGGGCGTGATCCGCCTGTACGACGGCCGGGGCGACGGCACGCCGCTGGAGACGATCGACAAGCTGCACCGGTTCCCCGTGCACGTCATGACGGTTCGTTGATCATCCTTTTTCTGGATGATGTTAGGTTGTTGACAGCGGTACGTAGTACAGTGACAAGTACGACACTGTGGTGTCCGCGGATGAGGGCGGGTTCATCGAGTACTGGCAGCCGTCGGAGCCGTTCGAGAAGCCAGCTAACATCCGCGGACTCTGGGGATTCAAGACCGAGACGGACCTCTACGAGTTCAAAAAGGTAGCATACCTCCCCCGAGGCCGTCTAACATACTAAAGGCGCACCACAGGCAAAAGCCACCCCCACCTGCATCACCCTCTCGCCCGACTCGTCCCACTTCGTCACCTTCTCCCTCCCCGACCGCCAGATCCGCGTGTTCAGCTTCCTCTCGGGCAAGATGACGCGCCGGTACGACGAGTCGCTCGCGGCGATCCAGGAGATGCAGCAGGCGGACACTGCGGTCTACAAGGTCGAGGACATGGAGTTCGGGCGGCGGCTCGCGATGGAGAAGGAATTGGAGCTGGAGGGCTCGTCGGCGGGCCTGGATGGGACGGGCGGGGAGAGGCCCGCCGCACGGTGGATTAATGCGGTGTGGGACGAGAGCGGGAATTTTGTGCTTTATCCGACGTTGCTTGGGATTAAGGGTGAGTCCGTTTTTTTGTTTGAGGCTGGCGGACCCTGATGATGTGAGGATGGTAGTGGTCAATGTTGTCACGAATCGAGTCGTGCGGTTGCTTGGCAAGGACGAGACTGTGAGATGGATGAACCTCACGTTGTACCAAGGCGCCCCGGCAAAGAAAGGTCGCACAACTGTGGTGGGTATCATGGCCATGATTCTGTTGTCGCGGGTCCTACCTTCGCTCACACGATCTGCGTAGCAAATGGCCGCCTCGGATAACCCTTTGCTCGCGGAGAAAGCGAGTCGAGATCCGACACTTGTTGCGACGGGCTACAAGCGTCAACGGTTCTATATCTTCTCTCGTTCGGAGCCAGAGTAAGTGTAGCTCCCCAGTCGAAGTCACAGTTGCTCACAAAGCATATAGGGACGAGAAGTCTGGCGACCGCGACGTCTTCAACGAACGTCCTACCCTGGCCGAGCAAACGCTCTTTGCCACTCCAGCTCCTTCTGCACTCACGGGTCCCTCGAAACTCGCCAACGCAGCTACGATACATACGACGCTGGGCGACATTCACATGCGTCTTTTCCCCCAGTATGCACCGAAGGCGGTGGAGAACTTCGTCGGGCATTCGCGCAGCGGGTACTATGAGGGAGTGCTCTTCCATCGTGTTATTCCCAAGTTCATGATCCAGACTGGAGACCCCCTCGGTGACGGGACTGGAGGCACTAGTATATGGGATAGGGAGTTCGAAGACGAATTCCATGATGATCTCAAACATGACAGGTGAGAATTCCTCACGCGTGAGGTCACTATAACACTTATACTGTGTCTTTCAGACCGTACACTGTTAGTATGGCTAACGCAGGACCTAATACCAACGGATCGCAGTTCTTCATCACCACGACGGCGACACCTTGGTTGGACAAGAAGCATACGATATTCGGACGCGTCTTGAGCGGTCTGGAGGTTGTTCATGCTATCGAGAACGTGAAGACGGACAAGCTGGATAAGCCTTACGAGGATATCAAAATCATCAATATAGATGTTGAATAGGGTATATATCGTGTTACATGTAGTGTAAGGTCGGGTGTGCAATGAGGTACAAACCCTTCTCCAAACATTTTGAAACTAAACAGCAGGGTCATCGTTTCTTCTTCTTGTATGGCCGAGAAGTGCCACCACGTCCTCTTAGTGAGCCTGACGCGCCCCTCTTCCTACCACCTCTGCGGCTCGCCTTTGACGACGGTTCTGTGAGCGTGAGATTCAGCACGATTATCAGCTTGGAGGACAGGCTAAGTGCAGACACACCTGCCGATGCCTCGCGCTCCTCTTCTTCCTCTTCTTCTGCCTCTGCCTCTGAGCCCATATCTGTTCCAGTGGCAACGCTCTCCCTAGGGGTGGGAGCGACGCTTTCATCCCCGCTCTCCTGAGTTAATGCACTGCTATCGCTTTCGCCCCCCACTAATCCAGCGGTGTTCTTACGTTTCCTGCCCCTTCCGCTTCGCTTTCCTCGCCCCCTTCCTACCCCTCTCTTACCTCTCGTGGCTGGAGGGGGAGTTGGGGCTGGGGGAGAGGACGGTAGAGAGGCGGAGCCACGCATGCGTCGAGGAGCGATGAGGCTCTCGAAGGTTGGGTCGTGCGGGAGGGTGTATTCCTGGCGGAAATGCGGGTGCCCTGAAAGATTCTCAGAAGGAGAGGGAGATGGTGGGTTTACCACAGAGGGGTTCGAACCAGGAGAATCGTAGCCATCTGTCTCCTGCCTTGCACTTCAAGTTCCAGCAGCAGAAGCGTACGGTCGCGATGCTCACCAGCCCTTCCAGCGTGTCCAAGTCATAGCATTGCCTCAGTTTGTCCCAGATCTCCTCGACCGTTACAAGGTGCCCGGTATCTTTGTGAATATTGGTGCGCATAGACAGCACGTGGAAGTGTCGATGGATGCCTACAGGTCGGGTGCGCATGATGGAACGGAAGAACGAGATTTCACCCTCTACTGTGTCCAGAAATCGCTCCGACACGTCCTTCTGGTCCTCTTCGACGGCCATGGCAGCGAGTACAGCGATGTTAGAGCGTGTCCGTTGGGTGTGGCACTTTGAATGACAATGGTATTCCGATCGCGTCGTTTTGATCCAAGTCGGGTTAGTCCGGACGCGTCTTGAATGAACGTCTCGTGTTTGCAGCGAGTCTTGCCGTCTGAAAGCCTGCTCGCTGTCTGCGTACAGTAGACAAAGCCGATTGCGTACTCGTCACGAAGGATACTAGGCAGTTATTCAATGGAGTGTACGTTTTTTTCTCCCTGAAGGGCCCGACAATTCTGTGGCCAGGAGACCGTCTGTCAAGCGCAACCTCGGATCCACCCCAGACGCAATGTTTCAATCGCTGACTCACATAGTCCACCACAACTTTAAGCGTTATCTTCACGGAGGCCAGGGGCGGTCCTGAATACTTATGGGGGCCGCTTGTGATTGAGGAGCGTGCTGACCACAGGTCCAGGCTCGCTGCTTACTCTTCAAAAATCGATATACTACGATGGGATTACGATTCCATCAGCGGTTGAACGCATGATCCAGTCTATTATCCGCTAGCTGATGGAGGAATTGTAGGTGCTTGTTTAAATTTTCAGTGGAATTCTAGGGCGCAATGCGCTTGGTTACAGCAGAACAAGGATTTCCTTAAATGGCTCGCGACAGGACAAATGTGGTATATGTTGGACCCTGAGCGTGATGTTCGAAATGATCCGGCAAAGAAATAGGTGCGTGTATTGCGCACAGCTGACCCTACGGGAAGTGGCACCTATGATAAAAGGAGGTAGATATGCACAAATATGGGTCCGCTTTTCCATGGACCGATCAAAGCGCTCGCCACATTTTGCTGCGCTTTGCCACATCTCCCGCCTATTTGAACCACGCCTGGCGCGTCCCACATTTTTGCCTTCCTTCACCCCCACTTTCACATCATAAAGCATTCCAACAGTCACGCCCTTTCCCAAATCACGGAATCACAACCTTCCAGATCATCCTTGTACGATCGCAAGCCCGAGACTACACCGAGATCTACAATGTCTAACGGAGCAGGGATCACACCTCCTCTGAGGTTGAAGAACCGACGGCCCTCATCGGAAGAAACACCATCGACCGTGATAGGGCCGGTTCAAGGCGAGAAAAGGCCTCCGCCTATTCCTCCGAAAGATAAGCTTCGACGCGGACAATCTCTCCAAGAGAACCCGAAGCTCTATCCACAGGAGCAATCGTATGTCTCTGAAGCCCCGGGCAATGTTGCCTTCAATCGTGAAGGGCAGTCCAGGTCATCGGTCCCAACGCCAGCGAGGAGCGAGGATCCTCGCTCATCTCTACATGGATCGGGCAGTCGCAATGTTCTACAGAAGAGACGTCCTTCCGAACTGCCCCCTCCTTCGAGTTCGTCTCGCGCCGATACGAAAGAGCCCCAGTCCTGGTACAGAAAGGCTCAGCCGGACAATTGTGAGGGGATATCCATAGTATTACAGACTGACGCTGACAATCGTGCAGCAGTCAATCCATACCTTCCCAAGCGATCTAACTCCGCCAAAGAACTCCTTCGACCTCCAGGCTCTACCTCACTGGAAGACCAAGCTCATCCTAACCCCCGAGAAGCCGCTCGCGTCGCCGCACGATATGCGATGACGAGAGATCTTCGGCGTGCTCAGTCCTTGAAAGAGAAAAGAAGCACTGCGCCGACCACTGCACAGTCTACTAGTCTCGACCAGCTAGCTCCGCAGAATCGGGACAAGCCTCTTCCCGCTCAACCCAAGAGACATGGCCATCGCCATGCGGATTCCGACCCCGGTATTACCGCGGCCACATTGGAGCTTCTGACCAGCGACGTCGAACCATTGAGGCGTCGATTGGACACGACACCTGGTGCCTACGGTGAAAACCGTAAGACGGTAGGATCCATATACAGTCAAGACTCTGCCGCGTCTGAGAGTGTGTTGGCCGTCAGCGCCCAAGAGCAGAGCGCGGACGGCCACCGGATAAGCCACCACCCTTCCAACAGAGCTTCCTCACCTACGGGTACGATAGTCACTGGGCGGGTGGAGCCGCCCGAAGACGACGCAGAGACGGTTCGGCTCCGGCGGCGCAGATATTCGAAGCACGGGTCGGACTATTACACCGACTCGCACTGCAGCGTTGGCGGGGGACAGAGTCCCATGACTCCTGTAGATCCGGGTTTCAATATTAAGTCGGGCAATTTGGATGAAGTCTTCCCGTCCATCCTCAAACCATACAGGCTGATGCGCGCCTTGCCCAAGGACGATTTCGAGTCGCTTTCCCGCCTTCCTGCGTTAGCTGAGGTATTCGACGGCTGTCTAACGACGGTCATAGGCTACCTCGGCGGAGTCCCTCAAGAGGTCCAAGCCACCACGACGTATCAGAACGCCTTGAGCGGGCTACAATTCTCCCGGAATATGTTCATGGCTCAGGTGGGCGCTCTCAAGACAGACTCGGTTCGTCAGAGTATCGTGACGGTCCAAAGCTGCGATGATATCGTCAGCCTAACGGAGGAGCTCCTTGATGAAACTATGCGAAGCCTGAGGGGGTTGTTGGGCGTCGTAAATGGCGTTATGAACGAAGAACCGGGCGACCTGGACTCGCTTCTGGAGGAGACAGCAGACACGGAACCTGCTCGGGACGACTCTTCAGTCGACCAAGACGTAAAGGTTCAAGAGGGCGTGGCTGGCACCTCTACCCACACCTTGGCAGTGCCCAGAATATCAGTGGCATATGCAAGCACCGTCACCCTCGCCGTTCCAGACGATACTCACCAGGCCGAATGCGATCCTAGCGCTGCAGAGACACAATCGACCACTGACACACTTCGCCCCTCCCATGCGAAGGGCAAGATGAAGGAAGAACGGCCGATATCGTTGGCATTCACAGACGACATGTCTGTCATATCCACCGAAGCAGGAGACGAGGTTCCTGCTCTGCCAGCCTCGGTGGCTGGATGGCGAAATAAAGCCTTTGGCGCGCCTCTCTTAGGTCTCAAATCATCCCAGTCGACTCTAGCACTCAAGACGAGCAAGGCGACGCCGAATGGCATTCGATTCTCGTTGTATCAGTTCCCGAATTTATTCACCGCCGACGGTGACATTGCAGAACTCGCCATTGCCAACGGGGACATCACGCTGGGTGACGACGGTTCGGTAACAACCGCTACCTTCCCTGCTCTCGTGAGGGTACTCACGTCGACCCGGGACCTTGTCGATTACGACTTCAACGAGATATTCTTCTTGGCTTTTCGCTTGTTTTCAACGCCGACCCAGCTGTACAACGAACTGGTCCAGCGGTACTGCGTTAAACCTCCGCCTGGGTTAGCAGGGAGCGAGTTAACGCAATGGAGAAAGAAAGCTAGGGCGACAAAGCTCCGTGTTGCACGCGCCCTCCACTCGTGGGCCGAGTTCTATTGGAGGGCAGAATACGACAAAGACATCACGATGAAGCTGGTCAACTTCGCTTTCGGCAGGATCTCCAAGGACTTCAGGGAATCATCGAAGGATCTGGTGGATAGCTTGCACAAATGCGCTTGTGCTCCGTCCGTATATAAAGGCCGCCAGCTTCAAGTCAATGTCCAGGCGCTGGAAGCGACTATGAATACGGATATGGCACAGGAGCGATTCCCCGGGTTTGGCGGACTATTCGCCAAAGGACACGTGTCCAACATTCCTGAAACCTCGAACATTCATCCGTTCAGCAGCCCTCGTGCCAATCAAGAGCTCGCGGAACAGCTCACTGTATTGGAGTCATCTTTGTACAGAGCCGTAGACCCGTTCGATCTCCTGCGATACAGCGTTAAGAAGGAATCCCTCCCCGCGGAGACTAGGCAGACAATAAAGCGGGTGACGGACTGCTCCAACGCTTTAATGGAATGGACGAAGCAGACTATCAGGGCAGCAGAAACCCCTGCTCAGATGGCTGAGATATACGAATTCTTTGCTCTACTCGGCACGGTAAGTACACGAACCAGCCGCATCTTGGTGTCTCGATGCTAATACTCTGCGGTGCTAGAATTGCGTGAAGTTACGGAACTTTCAATCTGCCATGTCTATCTGGGGTGGCCTCAGCGCTCTCCGGCAGAAGGAACTCGCGGATATTATGAAGGTGAGTCCATGTAGGCGAGAGCGTGAGTTTCAGGTGCTGAGTGTGACGTTCCCTTCGGCCTAGCTCGTGTCCGTCACCAGCCATAATTATTTCGCTTCTATGGCCCGTCTGTTCGGCCACGGCCTCAAGCTGACCGACTATATCGAAGCCTTGAATCGGGAGAACAGGCCTGCGGTGCCGTACCTAGGTAAGAACTTGCGCATTCTTACCAGAGTCATCGGTATTGATAGCATGTCACCAGGGCTCTTTGCGAATGACCTAGTGCGCATATATGAACACCCGAAGTATAGCACCGAGCCGAGCGAGAGCGGGGAAGAGATGATCAATGTCCTCCGTCTCAGAGGCATTGCGAGGGTCTTCAGAGGTCAGTCTTCTACGCAGTCGTCCCTGGATGAGCTCTGACCGGTTTGGTAGAGATCGAGAAGTACCACGTTCCGTACAAGCTGCACGCGAACGAGAATATCCAGCAGTATCTCGCTAGCGTGCTGGAGCAATATAAACCTGACGAGTCGTCCTAGGTTAACCCTGGACACGATGCGTGGTATGTTCCCCGGCAAAGCTATATGATAGTTGCTGACTCTGGTGATAGTCCTCTTGAGGGAGTTGTGCGCCACTGCTCCTTCAGGACCATGCCATTTCGCGATGGCTGCACTATAGCGAAAGAAACTAACTTTTCTTTTTCTGCACTCTGGAGGTGAGCGGCACCGATTGCTCACGGGTATGCACTATCTGACTGTCTGTCTGAAAGTCCTTCCTCGACTTCATACACACCACGTTCCTTATTTTATTCCAATATCTATGTCAGGTGCTACGCTCTTTTTGCCTTTCTGCTTCTGTGTAGCCATAGTATCTATGTCTTATTTATTGCCCGAGCAATTGACCTTACAGGTAGATACTAGGCCATCACCGTTGTTTCTGTCAGTACACCACATATTACCGAAACGTTCCTTCCCTCTTGTAGCATAGTCGTCCGAATGTACATCACCAATCCGCCAATGCAATCATACATATGCCAACGGGAAGCACGCCTCGGACTTCACCTGCAAGTTGTTTTGTGGCATAACATAGGTGGTGCATACATGGACGTATGAAGGTAAGTGCCGTAAACCGCTCATATCAACTCAGCTCCCCTCATGCGCGCGCGGCCTCGATCCTCCGTCGGGCGACCTGTCGCCGATTCAGACCAGCAAGAGGGGACGCAACCTCCTTGTCCTTGGCGCGCTCAACTTCCTCATCCTTAGCCGTCAGAATAACCTCGATGTGGCAGGGATGACCGAGGTAGGGGTTGATACGACCGTGCGCACGGTATGTGCGGCGGCGGGTTTTCTAATATAGTGATTGAGATATGAAGTTCTTACCCAAAGGGAAACAAGACGTACGGGTGCTTGCTGGACAACAATGTTCTTGATGTACAGATCCTCAACGTCCAAGCTCTTAGCATCGGCATTTGACTCGGCGTTCTTGAGGAGGCGGAGGATGAATCTGACAGACTTCTCGGGCCAGCGACCTGTTCATTATGTCCACCTTCAATACATCTGATCCGAAAACAGTTCAAGCAGCCCACACACCCTGAGTAGCCTTGAATTGCTTTGCCTGGCCCGTCCGCCCGACACCGCCAGAGAATCTCCGGAAGGGAATAACCTGCTTGTGCTCCTTCACGTCACCGAGGTAGGCGTACGCCTTCGTGAGCTTCAGACCTGCGATATCCCGACGTCAATCCCGCCCCTCGCCTCTCCCATTTCCGACATATGCTCACCAGTAAGGGCAGCAGCCACCTCCCGCATGTTCTTGAAGTGGGTACGGAGGTACTCGCCGCGCGAGCGGGAGGCTACATAAACACGCTCTTTAGCATCATCTCTGGGTCATTTCTGGGGCTAGAAACGCACTCTTTTCGGGGTTGGTGACAGTGGGAGCGGCGGCATAGCGAACTGGTGCATGTTAGCAACATAATTCAGCACCGAAACGCACAGAGTACGCACCCATCTTGAAGTCTTGAAGCTGCTTACCCTATTGGCGGTAGTACTAGTTGATCATAGGTAGTGGCTGAAACCTTGCCGCGTGCGACGTTACAGTTCCTCGGCAAGTCCCGACCACTGGCAGCCGGAGGCGCCCGTCCCCTGCGTTCACGCCCGCATGACTTCGTTTTCCTGGCTGTCCGACACTGTCTCAGTTCTGAAAAGTGCAGTCTCTTAACTACCGCTAACGATGCGTGACGGTATGTCTTCTGTGGCATGGCAGATAAACGTTACAAGTCTTCCGTCGTGCACCGCTTCCTGCGGAAGTCTTGGATACTTGGCTCGTGTTGTTCTTATATCGTTATTACAGCACCCATGTCACGCACTCTTACTGATTGATATGCTATGACCCTATGCGACTTTCCACGAGGACTTCGACCCAGCGTTAATATTTCCGCCAATGTGGGTCCATAAGCACTACCATTTTCACTTGCCACCTCTGGCCGCTGCAGGATGGACACTTCCGGGTACAATTCGTTCTCCTCCGGCATCGGTGTGGTAAGCAGCCTGATGAGCATCGCTTGTCTGGTGACTGCACTGCGATATCGAGGACACCTCCCGGAAGCCAGGCTGATTGACCTTCAGCGCCTATTAGACGATGTAGACAGGATTTGTGAAAGAGATTATCATTATGTCGGCCTTTCGGTGCCTCACAGCATCCAGCACCGGTTGAAATGGTCAGTGCACGAGTTTGCATTCTCCGACGAGATTCGGCTGTCATTCAAGACGAGATTGATCAGTGTATATGAAGCAGCACACGAGTGCCGGAGAGACAGCGCTAGAGCAATAGGTGTCTGGGCGCAATACCGAGCTTGGTTTAATGGGCTCTCGGGAAGGATAAGCGACGTGATGGACGAGATCAAGGCAGTCAGGCGAGATTTGCTGGTGCGTAACTGCACACTCCTACTTGAAGGGCGCAATTAGAGTGCAACGCGATGTTTATATAGCTGCTTATCAGTGCTCCTGCACGTCCACGCTGGATATCTAGTGCTGTCGTTTCTGAGCAGCTACAGGATTCACTTCCTCTACACTTACCTATAGAACGGCATGCCGAGACCGCTATCCCATCCCATGGCTTGGACCAAGCAAACGAGCCGTTGACGCTACACCATATACATCTCATGACTTATCCCGATCCTCTATCAATGCCATTGGGGCCATTGCTGGTGTCATTCGATGAACTTATAGCTCGGTTCGATGCTCCGACAAGTTGTAGCGCCGAGGGAACATCGGCTCTAAAGATCGCTCTGACTGTGCCATCCATCGATGCCATGGGACTTGATCACATCTGCGAAGGTTTTGACATCAAATTCATGGCCAGCCGGAACGCGAATGCACCGAACGTTGTACTGAATGACATGTCCCTGGAGACGGCTTTATGGCAGAACGGTGTATTGGTCTCTCAGATCACGAATGAACTCGTGGAAGACGAGGTCCGGCCGACTCTCGCAGGTTCGACTGGAAGTCAACGGCGAGTGGCGGTGGCGACGTCTATTCGAGGAACAAATAGCTTGAAGTCGTGCGTACTAACGAGTCCTGGCTCAAGTAAGCCGACCTTCGCATCTGTTGCAGAGGCATTCAATCTTAGTACCATCTGTTCACAGCTAAGGAGGTCCAGATATTGCAAACGTTGTGCATCAAGGCTCAACCGATCTGCTTCATAGTATACGATGTAGAGCAGGGTTTAACACCTGCCGCTGCACTCGTCGGCCTGAAACGTTGCGGGCCTCTGGATCTCAGTTCCCTTCTCACGTCCCGTGACTGGCGCCTTCACACAGCAACTTCTAGTTCCCCTCCCGTTCCAGGAGATGCCTACCCGTGGTTTGCTGATCCTGGCGCAGTCGAATGTGCATCTGCACCTGACGGGGATGTCCATGCGCGCCCTTCTTGTCCCCATGTCAATGATGGAGACTTGGGACGACGAAAGAATGAGAACGGCTCTTCGGTGACCCGGCAACGTGAGCCATCGACTCGTAACTTTAGCTATGTCTCGTTGTCACTCATACTTGGAAAAAGCCAATCCCGCTTCCGCGCCATCACCAGTCACATCGGAGCCGTTGCGTTCTGGTGCAGACGAAGACCTTCCAACATCCGAGTGGAATGAGGATACTCAAGCGAGGCCTGCTAGAATCCATATAAGTGATGCGGGCTTGAGACGAAGGGTCAGCTGGGCAACCTGGCAATGTGAGTTAGACGATCGCCGTAGTCATAGATTGCTCGCGGTCACTGATAGTCACTTGGAAATAGCGCATCCTGATTTCCCGCCATCACCAGCACAGTTAGGGTCGTCGCTTCCTAAAGCGCATTATCCTTTAGTTTCTGCTGGAGCGCCTTTCGATCGAGATCGTTTGCTGGAGTTTGACGTGGAGACAGAAGAATACGAGCAGCTCCTTGGCCCACGCTCTCCTTTGCTCAACTTCACGGACACAATAAACCAGCAGTTTGTACAGGGATTGGAAGAGGGCTCGAGCCGACGAACGACTGTGGTCGGCTCTTGGGAATCTCGGGAACGTGAGTCAGATTCCGCACTTTTAGTTGTCTGGCTGCCGCTCATACGTACTCGGGGACAGCGGATCCCCCTGTCTTGCCGTCACCAGCTGAGCCTTGCCGCATACCATTGCCTCCTTCCCCTTGATGGATCACGATAAATGGTCCCCTGCTGAAGAGCGAAGTCTTAAATCTACCGCCAATGGCCCTCAACCACGTGTATTGTGTAGCAGTGCACACAACTGTTACATTACCACCTTGATACCGTTTCGAGAAGTAAATGCCATCCGTCGATTAACCCAATAAACTGCATGATAGAGTAAGGTGGCCTAGTGTGTCTCTTCCGGTTCAGCACGTCTGTCTCCCTCCTGCTCCTGCTCCTGCTCCTGCTCCTGCTCCTGCTCCTGCTCCTGCTTCGGATCGTTGGCTTTCTGGGCTTCTAATCCATATACCAAACCAAGTGCAACCCTCGCCGCCGCTCGTCTTCTCTCGTCCTCATCATCCATCCCAGCGATCTCCTCCTTCATCACCTGCAATGCACCAACGACCCTCGATAAATCGAATGCCGACATATCGTAGTCCTGTCCACTATCCGACGATCCAGGCATTGACTCAGGATTGCCCTCGCTTGACGCGAGGTCCATCGAGGATGGGAGGGAACCGAAGATCCGTCTGGAAGTAGCTTCTATCTCAGCTCGCGACGGCAAATCCTCATCACCCTCGTCGTTACCCCAGTCCGGCTTGTCGGGGCCTCCCTCTCCCAAGTCTGAAGCTAACGAACGGTATGATGCCCCGGTGTGCATGGGGACGAGGCGCTTTGCCTCGAAGCTCGTAGACGCGTCGGAAGACTCCCCCGCATCGAACTCCGTTGGTGCAGAGACAGACACGAAGGCGCTGAAGTCGTCGTCGAAGCCAGAAAGAAACTCGCCGCCGTCCGCCGCAAGCACCAGATCCTTCTCCACTTCTGCAGCATGAGACGGCCAGGAAGAGTGTGTCTTGGGTGTGTGCATCCCACTGAGAGATCCTGTATCAATGCTATCGAATGTTGTGAGGAACTCGGCCTTGTTGTCATCGTTGGCCTCTTCAGATGGCCATGCAGAATCGCCCGTGGGCGTTCGCCCAGCACTGGTAGATACATCGGTACTCCAAGGATTGTCTTCTTCCAGCCATTTAGCGAGATCTTCCATCTCTTTCTTCATTCGCGTGTCCTGATCCTCTTGCGTATCGTCCGCATTCAGAAGCGACCGGAGGCCGTCGGCCTCCTCATCTCTGCTTGCTAATCCGAGCAGGTCGTGAGCACGGCTCTTGCGGTCTCGAGTCGCTTGTGTTTGGACCATGGATGGCCACATTATGGTGCTCAGTGCATCTACGACGCGTGGAAGCCCTGGGATGCCTGGGAGAGGGGTGTTTGAATGTTGGGTATCGTAGACTACAGGATATGAGACGAACCTGATTCACGATGATCAGTGAGGGCGTCATCCGAATGCGAGGCGCTCGAGTCTCCGTTGATGAATTCAAAGCCATGACCCGCGATAAATTCGTCCACTCCTTCGTCCGTGTCAGTCCCAGTCTGGGACTCGCCACCCATACGGACAGCAAGGGACACTTCGGGGTCATGGTCCTCCAGTCTCTTCGCAACTAGTGGAACTCGTTCCTTGTAAGGCTGTAGAAGGTATCCGTGAAGAATCGATTGCATTCAGGTTGAGTATTGGACGTACCTCGCCGTGTGCCCAGACGTAAATGACCGCCGGTACTCCTTCAGCATGATAGGAGCTCCACTGCTCGAAGGCAATCGGCTCAAAATGAACGTCCGCCGTGTAATACCTGTTCGTTATCGTCCAAGGCACTGGGCCTTCTTCGGGCACCTCGCTCGGATCGTCGGAGAGCGCCTTGAGGCCTGTGCGGTTTACGATCAGAGCCCTGTGGTAAGCCTGCTGGGAGACGTACGTCCGATAAACTTGCGCGCCTGCTCGGTGGTGGATGAAACGGTCAGGATGCGACAGGCTGCAGTGTCCGACATGGCATGGATTGGAATGGGAAAGAGTCCGGAGGCTGTTGGGCGAGGCGTTTGCCTTTATGGGGTCGCTTCAGGCGCCGATCGTTTTGATGGCGGGACGCCTGCTTTGATCCGCAATGCTGCAGCGTTTCGACGCGTCTGCTGCACTGGCAAGGCCTCTTTCACGCTGGATACTCAGCTCGCGCGTCGCATCTCCCAACAATATCGTCATTTCACGGGAATGGCAGGGACAAATGGGTGTACGCCGTCCACGTACACCGTGATTGTCCGCGACCAGGAATTTCGCCTCAGCAAGCGGCAGATCGAGTTCGACAGCCCGAATTTCTTCACCTCCTGTTTCCTTGGAAGCTTCCAAGAGTCATCGTCCAAGTCGGTGACTCTAGATCGCAATCCGCAACTATTCGCGATTATTCTGGAGTACCTGAGCGGGTACGAGATATTGCCATTGTCTGCCTGCGATAAGATGGATGTCGCGTACGTGACGCGTAACTTGCTCGTGGACGCGGATTTCTACGGATTGACGCGTCTGCGGAGGCTCCTTACCGCGCCGAGCCTCCCACCGTCTTTGAGCTTGGAGTGGGCAGGTCTGGCGCGTCAAGTGGTCACTCTCCCCGAGGTTATAAGCGAGCATCTACCACCAGGCATCGAGTATGTCGACGGTGCCCTCTACTCTGAGCATCATGGCAACCAGTTGCCCGTCCTTGTCTCAGCCAGAGATGTTCCAATACGGTAAGCATTCATGGAGCTCTTCTAGGTCTGAGGTTCCTGTTGATAGTCCCGCTAGGCTGTCCGCCTCTCGTGATATAAAAATACCCAAGAGCGAGAAGACAAGTTTCAGAATTGATTATACGGGCTCACAAGAAGGCGGTATGGCTACGTCCGTCAAACATCCCCCTACGATCCTAGCAGAGTCCGTTTTCCAAGGGGGGAAGATGTGTATCGATGACGATGTCCTCCTCCTCTCAGACTTCTCCTACTGGTGGCATGACCCCAGCAGTGCCGAGTCCTCGAAGGCCTCCTTATCCCTGTTCAATCGCCTATCTCCGCTCACTATCGAGCCCTCTAGCCGCCCATATGCCCGCTATGAGGGCGTCCTCTGGGCTGATGAGGTCCTGTTCACGATAATTAAACGAAGCTCAGATGCAGGCGACCCTGTTTTACACATCAAGCTCGCAGACCTGAAAGCTCGGACAAGGGGCGCAGTTCTTTCTGAACTCGTCCCGGCAAGCTCGCGATGGAAGCATAACTAGGGTATCCCTGTCTAGACCATGAAGCCTGGTACGCTGTTCTCTGGCTTGTAATGAATCCCCCCGATGATTGATTACTCCTCCTTGCAGTCTCGTCATGGAATACCGCATTGTGAAATTCGATTTATCCTTTAGTCTCATATATACCTCAATCTCCAGGACGGAATACCTCATTGTTCACGAAATTGACGCACCGTTTATCACCGGCATACCCCCATAGCTTTTATACCTACGTTGATCAGATACTGCTGTATTGTCCGGGAAGTACTGTTATTGGTCGGGATCAATGGATTTCGCTTGCATATCCATGAAGAAAACCAGATGCACTCAAATCATCATTTTGTGGCAAGCCGCCACAGGATCCTCATTAGGCTGCCGGCGGCATTTCGTTACGGACGTTACGTGGTCACTACGCCGACTATAGGTGCCTCAACCGACTGCCTTCACGGCGTCATTGACTGCTTTGCACTTGTTCAGCCATAATGGAGGCCTTGTTCTTTAATGTAAGGGTGCAGTGAGGTGCTTGTCTGTTGTTTTGTATTCATCCTCTCGTACAGGTCTCCAACGGTTTCTTGGAGGGGATCCTCAGGGGATACAAGGCCGGTATCCTTACCCAGAGTCATTATTCGAATTTGACACAATGCGAGACGCTGGACGGTGAGTTGCTGCTATTGGCGTATACAGCGGACTATATCCTGAAAACCATCGGGGGCAGACTTCCGGATGCAGCTCTCAGCGACCGACTACGGCAACTTCCTCGCAAACGAGCCCTCCCCCCTCTCCACCTCGACAATAGCGGACAAGGCGACGCAGATCCTTGTAGACCAGTTCAACTTCATCCGGACGAACTCTGTGGAGCCATTGAGTACTTTCCTGGAGTATATCACGTACGTCCCCGCCAGTCTGACCGCCCTTGGATGACCCGTTCAAAACTCCGCAGCTATGGCTACATGATTGACAACGTCGTGCTCCTGATAACTGGGACGCTACATGAGAGGGATACACACGAGCTTTTGCTCCGCTGTCATCCGCTTGGCGTGTTTGACACGATGCCCGCATTATGTGTAGCGACGAACGTGGAGGACTTATACCGGACAGTACTCGTCGAGACGCCTCTAGGTCCGTCTCTCTCCCAAAATAGTTATTGCTCTATTAAATTTGGCTTTCCTCAGCTCCCTACTTCATTGATTGCCTTTCCGCCTCCGACCTCGACGACCTCAATATCGAAATTATCCGGAATACCCTGTATAAGGCATACCTTGAGGACTTCGACAGGTTCTGCAAGACCCTGGGTGAACCCACGTACGAAGTTATGCATCGCATCCTCTCTTTCGAGGCTGACCGGCGGACAATCAATATCACGATCAACTCGTTTGGGACAGAGTTGTCGAAAGAGCAGCGTGCAAAGCTGTTCCCTACGATCGGAAGACTATACCCCGAAGGCAACAACGCCCTCGCGCGGGCAGATGACATCGAACAGGTCCGACAGGCTTGCGACTACATCCCGGAGTACAAGACGTTCTTCGACTCTGGTCCTCAAAGCGCACCCAGGGCGAATGGCAACGGCGCACAGGATGACCTGTTCAATGAGGAATCCTCAGTGGCCGCTGACTTGGAAGACCGCTTCTTCCGGCAAGAAGTCCATCTTAACAAGCAGTCGTTCCTGCAGCAGTTCCAGTATGCTGTGTTCTACAGCTATTTCAAGCTGAAGGAGCAGGAGATCCGGAGTATAACGTGGATTGCGGAGTGTATTGCGCAGGATGCGAGAGACAGGATCCAGGACTTTATACCTATCTTCTAATTGTGCGGTGTGTCTATTTACCTGTCTGATATGGATTGTTGCGTTGTTTCTTCTTCAAGCCTGGTGGCCTTGCCCTCGGCACCTGTCGGGTCGCTGCATCGAGAGAAGTGATCACAGCAAGACGCACAATGTACCTCTAGCTCTACAGCCAGCTGTTCAAGTCACACCATACGACTTACTGATCGGTGATAAGCCCTCCTTGAATAGCGCAGGGCGGTCACGATGTGATCCATTACGCCATACTCCAGCTCGTGATATGGCTTCTAATAACAGAACGGGTCTCTTCAAAGGCCAACAGGTATCGTTCAATCTGCACCCTAGACTTGACATCCATGTCGTCTATCGAGAAAGAGACGGAGTCCCAGGTGGTTATCGAGAGCGCCGACCAGGAGGCAGATCGCCAACTCCTGAGGAAAGTCGACCTACAGTGCGTGGTCCTGACTTGTTCTGGTACCCTATATTACTGACAATGTAGAACCAGCCTACTTCCCATCTTGACGGGTTTGTTTGTGCTGAGCTTCATGGACCGGTGAGTTGAACTGATGCCGACGCTTCCATTGTACTGTTAATTCTGCTATCAGCACGAACATCGGGAATGCGAAGTAAGAGAGTTTCTCCGCAACTTGAGATCTCCTGACGTACATTCATAATCCTCACAGACTGGACAACCTCATAACTGTACCGACATCGTTACCACCCGCCTTTCTTTGGCTTAACCCAATCACAACAGGATTTGCACCTATCCTCTTCAGGTTACAACAACGCACTAGCGGTGTACTTTGTTGCATATGTGCTTTCAGAGGTTCCCTCTAATGTATGTGATTCACCACATCCGACTTGCAGATCAACCTGACAAGCGAACAGATCATGTTGGTCCTCATTCTGGGCAACTGCAATGTAGTACTGATATATTGGTAGCCTCAAACGGTTTGATCCACAATACTGGCTGCCCACATTGACGCTGTCTTGGGGACTGGCGACCATCGGACAAGGTCTCATAACCAATCAAGCAGGACTGTTTGGTATTCGCTGCTGTATGAGGTACCCACACATAGCTCTTTGTAGAAGCTGATTGGTCGCATCTCCCACAGTACTTGGCGCTACCGAAGCCGGCTTCTTCCCTGGCGTTATTTATCTCTTTTCAGTTTATTATCGCAGGTGAGTCATACAAATCACAGCAACGGAGCGGTACTAATAACGATTTGAAGACGGGAACGTCATTGGCGTGTCGCCGTCTTCTTCGGCGGAGCCGCTCTAGCTGGGGCATTTGGAGGTTCGTCTGCACCTCACATACATAGACTCGGCCAAGAGAACATCCTCCACCAGGTGCGCTGGCATACGTTATCGGTCTCATAGACGGCGTGAGCGATCGCTGGGGATGGAACTGGTGCGCCAGATTTCATAGCCCTACTCGGCCGAAATATAAACCTCTAATGCAAATCGAAGGATATTCGTTATTGAAGGCCTAATCACCATCGTCTTCTCCCTGCTGGCCTTTTTCATAGTGCCTACTTGGCCCCATTCAGCTAAATTCGTATGTAATACATGCTATAATGCTCCGATTTCTCTCGCTGTTGACGTGCTGCCCTGTAGTTGACCAGCACAGAACGCGAACGTCTGCTTCTGCGATTGCAAGAAGATTCAGATGCCGCAGACCGAGAACGCTTCAGATGGCTCTACGTCAGGCAGGCTTTCACGGATCATCTGGTGTGGGGATATGCTTTCCTATTCCACGGGTTCTCTTTTGCCATGTATACTCTGAGCCTGTTCATGGTCCGTTCTGCACCTTACCAATCTTCAGTTACTGACCCGTGCGCGCAGCCCACCATCATCGCCGGATTGGGCTTTGCTGCATGGAAAGCTCAGCTGTAAGGGAAGCATATTCGTCCCCGAACGTTATGCTGACATGCGAACGTCAAAAGGATGTCGGTGCCTCCGAACGCCCTGGGCGCATTATCCATCTGGGTGTCTGCTTGGGCATCCTCCCGTTATGAAATGCGTGCTCCCTTTATTCTTGCGGGTGGCGTAACCGCAATACTAGGCATGTTGCATTTCATCACTTTTCGGTCACAGTTTGCAATTGCATCCGTCCTAAATTTATCATAGGATATATTATTACAATTGTGACGCACACAGGTTAGCCAGCGGAACGCCGTTCCTCGAGTCCTGACTAACAAAGCTCCAGCGGGAGCTCAATATCTCGGAGTCCACCTTGCGACTGCCGGGATCTATACAGGCAATGCATTGCTATTTAGGCAAGTGTCTTGTCGCATTTGAGACGCCGGTAAGCTACCTCGGTATTGATGGTTACGGGTATCATTGTTTGGATAGTTGGCCTAGCGGGAATGTATCTGGCCAGACGAAACGTTCAGTCGCGGTTGCGATACAGATCATGATTGGCGACATCGGTGCCATTGCTGGCGTACTCATCTATCGACCCAGTTTTGCTGCGCATCTGTATCGGAAGGCACAAATCATAACTATTGGCTATCTGGCCTTCTCCATGGCTGTGGCCACTTACCTGTGGGTTTGGATGTCACGGGAGAACCGTCGCCGGGATCGTCTTCCGAGGCACTTGCAAGGAAGGCACCCGGAAGATGCTAATGGGCAGATCCGGGCGGGAGACAGAGCCTTGGACCATCGATACCAGACATGACTGCAGGAAAGTGAGTATTTTGCATGTGCCAGCAGTAGACCATTGCTCAGATGTCGAAGCAGTCTCGACTGTCAATAGGGAGCTTTATTGTGTTGTTCTGATACTTGATATGTCTCACCCGCTGTCGCGAATGCCACATTAGTGCTGTGAATTTCGTCGATTCGCCCAACGTCTACATCTGCCGCCGTGAAGACGACCGTGGAACGTGCTCATTATGACAACTGATTTGGACGCGTGACGTCACGCGTCGTACTGGCATCGCGAAACCTCGCAAAGCAAGCACGAATGTTGGCGACGTGCGAACGCGCTCTAACGTTATGACAGCCAAGGCACCCGTTGGCACACTCATCGTTTCCTGGCTTCTTCTCAGTGATTTTAACTTCTTCCTAAATAGAGCTGCAGCGATAGCGCCGATGGCGCCATCGCTTCAGCTTGTTGCGCCAAATGCCTCCTGATAAAGGAACGCCGGTATGCCATAACAAGTTCCGCCAGAGCTTAGCGAGCGTCCTGGTTTCCTTCCCTTGGGCCCATGTCGTCCATCGAGAAAGAGACAGAGTCCCAGACGACCTCCGAGAGCGTCCATAGCAATGCAGATCGCAGGCTTCTTGGGAAGGTCGACTTACGGTGAGTGTGTCGAGCTGTTGCTTTTGTATGGAGTGTCGACAACTTTGAATTGGAACTAGTCTTCTGCCGATATTGACCGGGCTATACCTTCTAAGCTTCTTGGATCGGTGAGCATGTCTGCAGCTTCCCGGACCCTCTGGCTCACTCTCCTTGCGCCCAGTTCGAACATCGGAAACGCTAAGTAAGACATATTCATTCGAGTTATAATGCATGCTAATGCACTCCCAGACTCGATGGTTTGGCCGCTGTGAGTTACCTCCTCCACAGTAGAGAACATGTCCTTAGTATGGCCCGTTACAGGATTTGCACCTGTCTCCTTCTGGGTATAACAACGCCCTTGCTGTTTACTTCGTTGCGTATGTTATATTCGAGATCCCCGCCAATGTGAGTGATGCAGCGATGCCCTGGCATGCGACTAACGGAGCGCCCGGATAGATAATGTGAGTAAGATTTTTCAGAGTGCGAGTAGTTTATGACCCTTCATCAGTCTCAAGCGGTTCGATCCTCAATACTGGCTGCCCACCTTAACGTTAGCGTGGGGAGTGGTTTCCGTAGCTCAGGGCCTCATAACCAACCAAGCAGGACTGTTTGGCATCCGTTTCCGTATGTGATGTTCGAGGCCACTTGTTATATACGCTGACAAACGTTACACATGTTGCAGTGCTGGGTGCTACAGAGGCTGGTCTGTTCCCTGGTGTTATTTATGTGTTCTCCGTGTATTATCGACGGTAGGAGCCCGTCATCCTAGTCTGCGTCGCGACATTGATGTTGTTACACGTAAGGCGAGAACGCCACTGGCGCGTCGCCGTGTTTTTTGGTGGTGCTGCTCTTGCCGGGGCGTTCGGAGGTATGTAACTGTTGTACATGACTGACACACTCTAATCCGCATTCTGCAGGGGTATTGGCGTATCTTATCGGCCTAATGGACGGCGTGAGCGGCCGCCGAGGCTGGAATTGGTATGCAGGATCGTTCTCTCAGTCAATACTAATGTCATGACGATAATACTCTTCAGGATATTTATCATCGAAGGCATTATTACAGTCGTTGTTTCCTTAGCAGCCTACTTCATCGTGCCTACTTGGTCCACCAAGGCCAAATTCGTATGTGATATGTTGTTTGCCGTCTTCCGCTGGATCACGTCGGACTCTGCTGTAGTTGACGGATATCGAGCGCGAGCGGCTTCTAGCTAGATTACGCGCCGACTCGGATGCTGCAAATCAAGAGGGCTTTGACTGGACTTTTGTCCGACAAGCCTTTACGGATCATCTCGTCTGGGCATATGCTTTCCTGTTCCATGGTTTCTCATTTGCATTGTACACCCTAAGTTTATTTCTGGTATGTGAACCGTACTGCGATAGACCTGGTCTCTGACTGTCCCCGGCAGCCGACTATCATCGCTGGATTAGGTTTCGCCGCATGGAAGGCTCAGCTGTAAGGAACCTTTACTATGCTCAGGAACTTCTCGATGATACGCAGCGGCTGTAGAATGTCGGTACCACCCAATGCCTTAGCGGCATTCTCGATTTGGGGTGCTGCTTGGGCGTCATCGCGCTATAAGATGCGAGCGCCTTTCATAATCGGGGGAGGTATCGTCGGGATTATAGGTGCGTCCAGGTGAGGACTTGTAGTGGGCGAACATTGACTGGTTCTCACCTAGGATATGTCGTCCTCCTTGCTACGAAGACACGTGAGTCAATGGATATTATTAAGGAGATTTTTCTGACCGGTTTCACGTAAATCAGCTGGTGCACAATATGCTGGTGTTCACCTTGCAACCGCCGGAGTTTACACGGGAAATGCACTGCTACTGAGGTCAGTGCTCCCTCTCCAGGATTTCCCACCCTTGGGTTTTTCTGTGACTAACGGATTGATTGCCATGCCAGCTGGCCCAGTGAAAATGTATCCGGACAGACGAAACGTGCCGTGGCGGTCGCTATGCAGATCACGATCGGCGACATCGGCGCCATTGCAGGTGTGCTCATCTACCGACCTAGCTTCTCCGCCCATCTCTATCGCAAACCGAATATAATCACCATCGGCTATCTGGTGTTCGCTATTGCTGTCACAACATACCTTTGGGTGTGGATGGCGAGAGAGAATCGTCGGCGGGATTGCCTGATGCAGCAGTCGAAGGAGAGTTTGCCCGATGACGAAGAGAGGGTGCGATTGGGAGATAGAGCCATAGACTACAGATATCAACTTTGAAGAGATTACGAAGATGGCGGAATTCTGTGATGGTCAGGGCCGCACATATGCATCGGTGATAAATAATGTACCTATAGCGTGCATAAACTCCGGCTGCATATGATGAGGTCGAGAGCGAATGCCTTCGATAGCAAGCCAGCTATCATATCATATATCAAGTCCTATGGGGAGACACCGATGAATGTATCTAAAACGAGTGCATTGCAGCGTGAGTTGACTATGTGCGTGTAACCTGTGCTATGATGATGACCTATGTGTAACAATGATATGCAGATGATAATAATAATAATGACATGCGAAAGACTCGTTCATTCCTCATCCTCTCTGTAGCTAACCCTGCGTTTCTTGCCTCGTGGGCCTTTCTCTTGATATTCGTCGTCATCTCCTTCACTGTAGTCCTCATCCGGAACGTCGGGTCCATATAGATGACGACGCTTCTCGAGATCCACCTTCCGCAGATCGCGTAGATTGTTCGTCAGTGACTTGTGGAATTCATTCTGATGCGCCAAAGGCCTCAGACAATCATGCGACATAAAGACCAGTGCCACAAACCTTCGGCAAGCGAACCTTCGTTCCAGGAGCAGCAGCTCTTTCAAGTCTCTTCTTCTGTTCCTTGTACTGAATCTCGATTAACATGGGAAGAGCCGGCAGACTTAGAAGACACACCTTCTTCTTCTCTTCCCCAAGAATGATAGACAGATGCTTGATCCACTGCTGTAAATTCGACTCCACCTTCTTCTTCTTGGCTTGCACTTTGAGGGCTCTAGAAATGGTGGCATCTTGTTCGGCGATGGCCTCATCGTCAGAGTCAGGAACCACGTATGACTTCACTGAAGCAGCAGCACTCCGGCGTGGTCTCTTCCTTCCCCGAGGACTGTGTGCCTTGCTGGGAGACGAGGATGTAGATGCGATGAAGCTGCTCGGTGACTCGGACTTGACTTTCACTTTCTTTCCGGAAGACTTCATCTTGTCTTGAGCGATGTGATCCTCTTCAGTGAAGTAGAACTCCGCTCCTTGCTGGATCTCATGATACAAAGACCAATTCTAAGATTGAAGTTGCATGGGTCACAGCAGCACTTCCATAAGGGAATAGTACAACGCACTGGAGCCCTGCCAAGCCGTTGCAATATCTTGAAATGCTTCAGGGTGATAGGTACACGATACTGCGAGCTGAAGGGATCGGGATCGCCATACCCATAATCCGGCTGCAGAACCTAGGCGAGGGTCAAAGGGATAGCTCCCAAACGGATACTGACTTACTACTACATTGTCATTGATCACAGCGTGCAGAACGAAAATCGCGGTGACCGGACTGCGATTCCCAAAGAACGTGCGTATCCACCTGCCGACTTGCATGGCGTCTGAACATGCAGCTCAAGCATTAGCTTCAACCCAACAAGGCACGGTGCACCACGTACCTGCAGGATAACTCAGCTTTCCGGTGCTATCGGAAGAGCCGTAGTGGTGATAACGTCGACGACCTGTCCTTGTCGGCGCAAGTTCGTCGTATTGTATCATTGTCGTCAATGTATCTTGACCGATACGACCCTGCACCAGGCAGTATCAGCACCTTAAGCTGTTCCCGGCGACGTGCAAGCTCACAAGGTCCAGATCAGGTGCATCTGACGCCTCGTCAGCTCGGCTGTGGTCTCTAGTACCATCCCCGTCTTGACTTTCTTCGTCGTCCATGTCCGCGTCAAGCGGGGCTATCGTAGCTTGCACGACACCACTTGGTACTTCGGCCTGTGATGCAGCAGCCCTATGCCGGGAAGCCCCGCTGGACCACCTGCCCAGAGGATAGCGCGTCACAACGAAATCACGACATAAGGTCGCTTCGTACGCCGCGCAGGCTTTCTCATCTCCTGCAGGAGGGAGGTCTTCCAGGCGGATCTGGTATCGTTCCGGCACAACTGTAGCAATCGTATCCTTGAGCCATTCATGGTCGTTGACCAGCTTCTTGAGCATCTTCCCCTGACCCATCCAAGAGTTGAGCAGATACAGAGAACAACGAAACAAACAAGCCCGAACCTTGCAATTAATCTCCAAGCACTTCAGCGTCACATCCTCCAGCAGGGACTTAATTCCCCTCGAGTCCAGCCCTACTTCTACCTTTGCATACTCCATGATTGGCGTATACCGCTCCACAAATGGGTTTATAAGTACATCATAAATATCCTTCCTTGATAATGGTGTCAGTCCTAAAGCGTCGAGCTTGGTCTTTAATGTAGCAGGCGTGGTATGTGCGAGGCAATTGTCCGAGAGAAAAACAGTAAGAAGCATAACTAGGCGGACCGTAGGGTCATCAGAGGGATAGTCGGCCCACAGTTGGCGTAGGACGTTAATGGTATAGACGGAAGTGATGCATCGCGTGTTGACAAACATCTAGCAAAATGAATGCAACGTCAGTGGCACTACTTCGGGTTTAATGACTCCCGCATGCCTTGGTCAATTCACGGACAACATCACTATTTGTCACTGCTTGAGACAAGATGATATGGCTTAGAGCATATATGCATACCTGAGCTCGAAAAGCAGATCACCGGACTTGTCCAGCTGCTTCAGCGCGGTATACGCGCCTTCGTTTGCTCTCGCCTCCATGCACACCTCCGCTGCAACCGTTCGGCTTAGGAACATCCTGTACTTACGAGATTCAGAACCTGGAGATATACACAACAAGGGAAGTGTACTTGGAATCAAGCCGGCAGAGTTCCCGGACATTTCGAACGATCTCGTCGGTGCGATTCTCACTGTTGAGATTGGGTCGCTCAAACATCTTACGGAAAACGAAGTCTCGGTACTTGGCGTAGCGTCAGAGGAGTCATTACCCGGAAGAGATCCTAGCACGTACTTTGCTATCCATGTGGAAGCCGTTGGCCTCGGCATAAGGGAGCAAACGGGGTTCGATAGCCAGAGCTAGGGGGAATGAGACCATAATTGGATCCTGACCCATTAAGTTAGTCGCAGTGGAATGGATTATAAGCACCAGGCGGTTGATACCTTATTACAGAAGGGCATGAACTAGAGCGATCGGGTGAGAATGGATTCCGAGCAGACGCCCTAGAAGACGTGCCTTGTACTTCTCAATGATATCCCGTATCTCTTCCCAGCGGATGCTTTTGAGATTCGTAGGAAATCGGCTCTCGGTTAGAAATGACTGGAATATGGATCAGTCATCCTCCCCCTTCCCGACAGGTATGTCCCCATATATATCAGCCGCCACTGTCATGAAATAACTGAAGACTTGAAACGGCATCGATCGGACCCAGGTCGTCTTAACAAAGTGGGCCTGTGTGCGGAAGTAATGGTGTATTGCTACCTGGACTAGGTAGCGAGACAGATATGCGCCGCAGCTGAGCAGGATCTGCGGGGCATGTCAGACAATGAGGGGTCGGCGCCGCCACCGGCGCCAGCGCCAACGACTGCAGCACGTACGTCGATGACCTCCTTGCTCATCAGCTTCCCCCTCCCAAAGGCCCAGAAGAAGGCCTGCATGGTGCCATGGCGGGTGAGGAAGTAGGTGGCTCGGACGTATGGGTCCTGCGAGAACTGGTAGAACCGCTTCGAAACGAGCGTAAAGGTCGTTGGGTCGTCCAATTCGACCAGAATAAGCTGGAGGATCTCGTCTTCGATTGCGTAACAGATTAATTCTCGCACTTAGACGTTACCGCTACGCAGGGCACTCACCACAGAGGCGGTCCATCTATCCAGACCGAACGACCCACAGGGTACACCGTGGCAGCTGACGACGGACGAGAGGGCGGGCGGGCAGACTATGCGTCAAGAACGGGAGAAACGACGGCACAGAAGGCGGTGGTGCGAGTGAGCGTCGGAAACAAGATTGGCGGGAGGTTCGGACTTCAAAATAGGCGTCCCCGGCATGAGCGTTCCGCCAAGCCACAGCTGTCGAGTCCGGTCACAGCGGGGTCACGGCGCAGCGCCACCACGTCTTTGCCCCTGGCCATGGTCGGGATGTTACCTGATATATCCCACATACGCCGGTTAGAGGAGGCCGGTGCTATACGGAGTAAAAGTCAATTAAATTATACGCGCGTAGTCTAATACATGAGGTCTATGTGGAGCTTTAGAAGCTGCTTTTATAGTAGCCGCGCCATATGTGCCAGGGCATCTTCCAATCTCTCCGCTGCAGCGACGCATCGAATGCATTGAAATTCGCCGCTTCCAGGCGCGAGAGATAAGATTGTACCGGTATCTGCAACGACGACTGCTGTGAGGGACTGACACAGAACGTGATAGTAACGCTGTACTCACGGCGGCTAAGAACACTGGCATCGCCTGCTTGGGCAGCCCCGCGTCCTTGAACATCTCTCTGGCCGTGATGAGGTGGTCGTTTGCAACTGTTGCAAATTCAAATACTGCGTCGGTCAAGCCAGATGCTTCGGGTCCCTTGCGGAAGACCTCCTCCTGATTCACCTTATGCCTTGCTGTTATTTCCGCCGGAATAATCATCCGACCCTTGGATGCGTGGAACGGGAGAGCCCTAAGCAAAGTCGAGAAGCTCTGCGCAACACCAAGATGGGATGCCGCATGAGAAAATGTTGACGACTCATTCAGCGACAGTAGTGACAAGAGGAGGTAAAGCAGGGTCGAGCTTGTAGACTCCGCGTGAGCTGTCGCACTGTCCACCGTCAAGTGAGTGGGCGCCTGAAGTTCATTTTCCTAGAAGCCGGACGATCTCAGCTCAGCTCACAGCATGCCTTGATGGCTCAGGATAGCACCAACCCTTGCATCAATTATACGTTTCAGATGGTAAGTTGGCAAATGCGCTCGACGCGAAGCATCATGTAGGGCTAGCGCAATAGGATGATGTGGCGATCTGTCCTATCCAGGCAGCAGCGGTCAGCATACAAGGTCCTGAAGTTCGGAAGTCACGCACATCACCAATTCCCTTTACGGCGTCTCTCCAAAACTGAGTTCTCATCTTCCCTATCATTGAATTTGACACCGACTCTTGAAGCATAGCAAGCTCGACCTACGGGCTGTCATCTCCATGAATGGCCATTATCCGGACTCGACGCGTACGCACGTAGAACGCCCGCAGTGCCAAATAACCTCCTCGCAAGTGTTCCGGGTAGAACGGGGAGATGAGGAAGGATTCATAGTCGTGTTTTTGGACCAGGTTTCTGCAATACGCGATCGGATCCTGCACGACATCAGAAGCGGTCGTGCCCGAAGTGCTGAGCGAACGCAGACATCTATCATTTCGAAAATAGAGTATTCTGAGGCAAGGCACTCTACGCCGTCGTGCGCATCGTATGCCGCCTTGCATTTTCCCTTGACGCGTTACGTCTGATGTTCTTGTTGAAGTTCAAGTTGTCAGAAGAGGCGCGTCGGGCGATGCGGTGACCTCAGAGCCTGCCCCGGCAATTTCCGATCAGATGATTGTCGAGTTGTCGATCGTTAACTTGGTTGCTCTCGACAGTCAACACCGGCTGCAGCATCTTCTAGGTCGTTGCTGGCATCCCCGCCGGCGTCGCGGATGGGATTATTGGAAACTCTCCGGTTGTACGGCCTCTCTGTTGCGAATCTTCCGCGTCCATGTTACTTGGATCACTCCCGAGAGTCAGGATGAAAGTGACCTCTCTAGGCTGGCTGCGTGTCAGGCACTGCCAACGAAGTCCCTGCCAACGGTGTCTTTCTCGGAGTTTATTCTTCGTTGCGACTGTTGTTGTCTCTTGTACTGGCGGTATGCTGGCTGTACTGGACCGTACTGAAAGTCCCTTGGCCTTCGTTGTCTTGTCGAAGCGGGTGTGTCTATGTGCTATGCGCCCCCGCCTGTGCGTTCCCGCTTTACCCCAATAGGATGCACCGAAGCAACAGTGTCTTGTACCTTTCGCATAGCTTCATTCTATAGAGAATGAGCCCAGGGCCCCACCCTCCGCCTGGACAGCCCCTCAGCGACGGTGAGTGCATATACTGGAGCAATTTCGTCAAGGCAATGTCTATGAGACTGCTGAGGGGCAGAGATATTTGCCTGCTTCGCACCGCTGTCGGCGATATCCTGTGCTCCTGGAAGTAGCAGTATATGGCCGATGGTATCCTTCGCCACCATTGAGGCGTTTGTACATGTATAGCCTCTGCCTACCTCTCATGTATCAGGATGCCAGAGAGACATAATCGCATTATGACTTCTGGTATCGTGATACATATGCTGGAAGAACGCTTCTATCTCCCGGAGACCGGGCAGTGCTATTCGGGCGGAAACCACCAAGTGATTTACACTATTGCAGCAAAGATGCTCTGCAATGTTGAGGTGCCCGCAGAGTAGCACTCTCCGGCGGTCAGTCGGAAGCTCTTTCGGCTGTTCAGTCGGAGCAGGCAGACGGACGGAAACAGTAACACATCAGGAGCTCATGCCAGTTCGAGTTAGAGATGTTGTAAGGAATCATTTTGATCCCGTAATATCACTGGGCGCTGGTGCTGCCCATGTGAATATCCCTCCGCCCGTATGTGCACGGACCTGTCGGTGCTTACAGCTTGATCTTAGGGGCTGGGCGTCCTCTCTTCTTGACAGACCACGAATAGCGGAGGATCTGCACACAGGTCCGCCGCGGTACCGCCCGGCTATTTCACGATATACTTGGACGCGGATTCGGAGGTGAGTCGGCCTTCTGGCAGGATTCCCGCCGCCATGCTGTGCAGCCACGTTTGGCAGCACCGACGCGTCCCTATAGAATGCTCGTGTGAGCACGAGATTGCAGTGCCACTCTTTCTTTCCTGTCCTTGACCATCTTTCCGCCTTGAGCAACGATGACGGATGCCAACTTGCCCATGGTGCCTATGGAGGCGACTCCCGACGAGATCATGAATTCACTTAGGATGCAAAAAACAATCGACAAGTGGACGAACCAGAGTGCCGCTACCAAGCCTATGACCATACTTTCGTTTTTCCAAACGATGACTGGATTGCCGTATGAGTTCTTCAAGGCGTTACGTCCAGAGGTGCGAAGGAGATGGGAAGAAGCATACGGACGAGCGTGCAATAAATTCTATGAAATACATCCTCCTTCCGCACCCAGGGCAATAAGGCCAAGCCGCTCTAAAAGGAACAAACACCGTGATGATGGGACAGAAGTACGTGTAATAAGTTACCTTGTATTTGTTGCCTTGTATTCACGCTTAGGCCCTTCACCCAGGCTTTCCAAGCTGTTCCTAGTCATGACAATTCCAGGGACATGCCATTGTCCATGGGTGCTCATCACCAGGACTTACGGTCTTCAGGACAAGGAACGTCGAGGGCGGTCGCCGGTCTGTCGACGGTCTTCATAGACTACGGCGAGACTCGATCCGTTCGACGACGCTCGGGAGAATCCAAGAACAGGAAGAACAAGCGACAGGAACCATACCCTAGCCTAGCGGCGGGGCCCTCTCGTCTGCCCATGCCCTCGGTGTCTCCCCATGCCCAAGAATCTCCCACTGCATCTTCTTCAGGATCGCCGTCTACATATAGTGGAAGCCCTTTCGCGTGGCGCGATTCACCGCTGGGACGGTATGAGCAGGTTTCGACATCCTTGCCCGATAACAGCTCTTTGGCCTCGCGATACTTTCGCACTCCGGAAGAACCCCAAGTTGACGCCCCTGCGAGTTTCGTATCTCCCGCTGTATCGGCGCCTTCCCGTCCTCGTTCCTCTACGCTTCCGTCGAACGTGTCGTCTCTTGGGCTCTATAGTGACAGTATCCCGCTTTACTATCCGTATAGGGCGGAACCGTCTCCCCCTTCCACGCCCGGTGGATGGGAGTCATCTAGCCTGACAAGCACCCCCGCAGATTCCCCCGCGCAGCTATCCCTCAGCAGCTTCCCACCTGTCCCGTCCTCGAGTGCTGGATGGAGCCCTGCCGTATCTCCTATTGACTTAGCACCTTCACCCTCGCAATGGTACAACCGGCCTGCCTCCAGTCATACTCCGGAGCACGACCATCCTCCGCTGCCACGGTTCGTCGAGCCGACGGAACAGACTCACCCCGGGCATTCCCGCTTCTTTTTGGAAGATATTGCAGAGATGCTTGCAGTAGTTGAGCCCATCGTCCATGCTGAATTTCAGCAGCAGGCTCTTGACCCGAATCTGTTCTCGACAAATCTGCAGTATCAAGAGGTACGGGTTTCCCGAGGAGTTGAATGTATTTCGTGTCTCTTACATGCAACTGTTGTAGGACGCCACCGGCGGTAGCGGTTCATGAGCTTGTCTCCCAATATACCCCCAGATGCCAGTACGCTATGTCCGGCTGGTGTCTTCGTTTCGATACCCTGCAAACGATACCCTCTTCTTGCCACTGCTTAGAGACTCATAAGCGCAAGGGACTTATTTTCTAGACCTATGTTTTTTGGATGACGAGGTTCGAAGATCATTCAAGTTGGGTGGTGGCGGAGTACGTATAGATGTCTATGATTCACTCTATGGTATCACTAGCATGTAGCTATGTTATGCGTGTAAATACTGTGGTTGTACCTATTATACTGTGTATACTGTTCATGAAGTTACCTGCCCCGGGGGTTATTAATGAATTTCAGAAAGTTCAAGCGCAGGATCAATCTCGGGCCCGGGACTTCCTGCTGAGAAGCTCACCGGGGTCGGATGATGCTGCTTATACTCCCTCATGTCGCCTGCTCGGAAGTTGTCCGGGCTACAACGGGATGTCCTGGCGTTGTACAGGCGGTTCGTACCAGCATTCTCTCGATTTATCTGTGTGCGAAGAGATTTATGTGCATTAACAGGGCCCTCCGGATGGTGCGCACGAAGCCACCAGTTGTCCAGCCTAAGTTCCGTCTCTTCGTCCGCTACACCTTCCATGCCCAGGCCCGTGCCGTGTCGCCTCGGAACATAAGTGCAATTGAGCACTTGCTGAGAAGAGGCCGCAATCAGTTGGAAATGTACGAGCAAAGTCAAGTGAGAGACTGTTGGGTCTCGAAGCAGATGAGAGATTGGGAAGAAAGGGAAAAGGCTACGACCGCTCTACGGCAGTGATGGTGAGAGGACGTCATGGATAACCACTTCCTAGCAGGGTATCGATTGTAGGGGAAAGGCTGACAGAAGCTAGTACACCCAGATCCTGCGTTGCCCGTTTATTATGACTTCACGCGCGAAAGGTTTTGGTGCTTACTTCCGAAAAGTGAGCACAATGTTGACATTCATCTCTCTACGTCTGATGGCTCCGCAGACCTTGCGCCGTTCTAACCACTTATGCACATGACCGACCGGAGACAGGTATAAGATCAGTCGAAGGGAGCATCTTTGAGCCAGCATCTGCGGTCAGAGGGAGGGATCGGCACCCCCTCCTGCAGCCGGTATCGCAGTTCTCTTCATCTCTCGATGGGAGTAGAGGTTCGGAACTTGCAATGCAGGTCTGCTTGCTCATCATCCAAATATTTTATGACAAGTCAACAGTGCACTACCGGAGGCTTGCCGCGCTCGAATGTGAATGGGAGATGACCATTCAGAAGAGCGAATAGATATTATAATACGATTGTGGAATCTGCACCACCTGTACGAACATGCGAGAAAACATTACTCGAAAGCCTGGAGCTCTGTATCCTCTGGGAACGAAGCGGTGCTATCGCTTGCCGCTTTTCTGGAGCGAGGTTGGGCAAAGAGTATCGAAGCGCTGACCATGCGCTCCTCGTTCCCTTCGTCGTAATACGCATAACGGATGTTGATCATGAGACGATTCGCCAGGACGATCGGAACCGCTTTCCTGAACCCTGTCGCTACCTCTTGGTTGGTTGCCTGCACATGCGATATGCCAGCGTTATTGATGCACATCATCCAGAATGCCCGATCTGACTCACACCAGCCCGGCTCAAGACTTCATTGAGAACGCAGACCGCGATAACCCTGCAAGTGCTTGTCAGCGCGGATTCCTGCGTAGTACATGCATGCCTCACGGGACGAAGTACATCATGGAATCTCTGGCAAGCAAAGGGAGTAAACGGCCACCAGTGTATGATTCCTTGACATGGTATTGCCAAGTTTTGATCATTGCTAAGGTTAGTAGAATCGTTTCGACTGCGATTGTAACAGTCTCCGAAGTAATCCTTGAATATGAGTATACCGTGGCGAACGATGTCACGTTGTGGACACAATAGAATAGGCCAGGGCCAGGGTTGTTGTTGGTGATCTTCCCGTACCCTGGATGATATTTGTATATACCGCGCATAAGCATTGTTATTTCAACATCGCAGTCCCGAGCCCACTCACCATGGGATTCTTTCCTCACAAATGGTGAAATCCACGTCGCGCACTCGGCTATTATCAATAGTAGAATCAACGCGAGTATGCGGCGACTGTTCTGGTACATGGCATAGACTCGAAGACCCATGACAACTGGTGCAGTGGTATGAGATGGGCTGAGTCACCGGCGAGATAGCACAATCTACGGACCTTGCGTAGTCAGGGTACTGTATCCTTTCAACAGCTCGCCCCAAAGGAAGAATCGGGAGCCTGGGCGGTGTGTGAGCTTACAGCGCGTCTTTCTGAGTCCGGGACGGCACCTACAACTGTGTAGATGAATGTGCATTAGTCCAATATGCAGATGTGGATGGATACTATATCCGCTCACAACTGCGGGAATGCCGGGAGGTCAGCCAATCGTAGTTCTCTCATGTATACATGATTCTGAACCGCACCTGAAGAGAAGGATGATCCAGAAGATATGCTATTCGTATCAATCTCAGTTGGTTGGCGTCAGCTCAGGCCTGGCTTACAAGTCGCCATAACTCTAACAAGAAATGTCAATCTGGCCAAGGACTCATATGATGACAAGTTGAATGCTAACATAACGTCCGCAAGGATGAAATATCTGTTCTACCGCCGGCGTGGAATAAGGTCAATCACTCAAGTCGCGCCGTACACTGGTCGGACGCACCACTAAGAACAGGAATTTTCCAAAGGAATTGCACTTGTTCTGCCACAGCCATATGAGCCTGTCGCACCTGCTCTCAGGAAAGTCGAATTTACCCAGAACAGGCAGACCTTTCGACATATCAAACGCGGTTAAAGTTGATCACGGATTGTAGGACTTGTGTACCTCATCCCTCACGAGAATCACTACAGGGCACGTAGGTTTGAGTCAGCGTGAATGGCTCAAACATGGACCGCACTCACGATGCTCGTAAACCACAAGTGTTAATGCAGCCACTAGGCATGAATGAATTTCAGGACAGAATGTCTAGGAGACGAGTGCTCCTTAATGACCTTGACAATACCCAGAGTTGGCGCGTCATAGTCATTATACGTGACTGTGACCGAAATGACTTCAGTTATTACCGAAATTACTAGGTATGACCACGTGGTCACTGTAGTCACAGTCCTTTCGCTAGCAGGGCAACGGAGCTCAAAATAGCAAGGGAAAATGCGGAATGTTCCGCCGTATTAAATTTAGTGTGATGTTTCGCACGCCACAGGCAAGGATGTTGGCATTTCCCGTTTGCCGCAACTACACCAATATGAACCTGCTAAACTGGTTGAAAGCGGGTTATGGGCTCTGCTCTGCATGCAAAAGATTAGCATTGGCGTTAAGATACATTATAGAGCCCACTACGTCCACTTAAATCCTGGTTAGTATACCACAGGCACGAAATAATAGTTGTACCCAGCTGCCCAGGCCCTCAGCCACCATAAATCCTGTGACTACTGACCAAATTACCGTCACAACAGTCAGTTGGTCATTCCCACGGTATTAACGTAGTATTAACGTAGTCACTGACAACCCTGACAATACCTGGCTAACTGTACCTGCTGGTACGGCGAGAGATCAATGACGGACATTTTGCTGCTCCAGGCTGGGGTGCCAACGACAGCGTCTTAAGCAGGACAGAACAAGGGGGTCCATATTTATAGCCTCGTGAACCACGACCCGATCAAAGCTGATGGTATTCCGATGAGTCGA